CGGCGTCTTCGTCGGCAGCGGCATCTTCAAGTCGGGCGACCCCGCCAAGCGGGCCAAGGCCATCGTGCAGGCCGTGACGCACTACAAGGACGCCAAGGTGCTCGCCCAGGTGAGCGAGGGGCTGGGCGAGGCCATGGTCGGCATCAACTGTGACAAGATGCTACCCGAGGAGAGGCTGGCGCACAGGTAGAGAGAGGATAAACAAAAAGATTTATGATTAGATGAAAGCAAAAAAGCAGATAATTTAAAGTTTTGGCCGACGCCTAAACGTTTAGGCTGGTCACCAATGTATTTTTCATACACCTGTTGGTCTGTTGTTGTGTCAATGTGAATTGCAATGTAGTTGTAGGCGCTGGGTGGTATGCCCATGCTCTCAACATGTGGAAACAGGATTTTTCTTTTTCTTTTTGAGCTGAGCAGCAAGTCTCAAAAATCTGGGATCTCGGGAGCAATTTGAATAAGAAGTATAGTACACATTTACTTAATTCCACGAAACTCTTCTCAAAGTGATGGCACGGCTACTTGATAGTTACCTGGACGACGATTTGATGTGTTTTTTCAGAATGATAAGTTGTCTTACTATAATCCAGTAACAGAGGAGTATAGAGCTAGTTATGGTTAAAATTGTAAGTAAAAAAGTGAAATTTTACAGTGATAACTCTACGTAGGTTTAAGTTCTTCAATGATTGTGTTTCTCTATTCTTATATACATCGCAGCCGCGCTCCCCAGTAGCGCGATAATATTCAATTCATCCAACCCAATTTCAAGCCTGCTCTCGATCAATATAAGTCTATATCGCAACCGGCTCTAATAACTGAGTGTTTATACACATATCCTCTTCATCATAAACACACGTAGTTAAATTCAAGAGCTGTATCGATGCTTTATAAACATGTAACTCTAAGATCGATAGCTAAGAAAAAAACCTTGAATATTACGGGTGAGGGAGTTCGAGTATAATGTTAAACAACAATAGAAGATGCCAGGCCCGAAATTTCACACAATGATTACCAAAGTTCAAAGTTTGATTATTACAAAGCCTTAAATTTAAGAGATGAGGTGGTGTCTCTCTAGGCAGGGGAAATGCCAAAATCTCCACCTGCAGAGAAATCAGGGGAGCAATCCATAGTCCTTACCATATCAAAAGTTCAGCTGTGGGAAAAAATGAACAGGATGTTCTTTGAGAATATATAAGATATTGAGTAAAATAGCATTAACAAAAGCTTTATTAAAACTACCTCAAAGGGCAACGAGCCCTCCAAGACACAGCACCCGCTATCCTCATAGAGGATCATGTATGGAAAGTAAGAGCAAGGATCTTCTAGCGAAAAGATGATTTCCAAGTTATTGTTCTCAGGACACTGTCTTGTTCTACTATGTCTTCTTGTAATATAAAGAAACCTCTAGTAGGTGGTTGAATAAGAACATAATATCGTTAATCTAGAACGCTGCTCAAGACTGAGAGCGCTTGTATATACATCGAACATGAGACTTATAATACTAACATGCTATGTTGTATGTCGAGCTCTATGTGCAGTTAATGTAGGAACATCGTGAAAACCAGGTGAAGGGGTAATTGAACTGTTGGAAGAGAATTATTCATACCTAAAGCGTAATTTGAGCAGATTCTTCGCTGATGATTCCCTATTCCAGTGGGACTTATGAGAAACCCGCCCAAATTATTTAATGTGAATTGGTCCTAGCAGGTAAAGAAGCCGTCGAGTCTCTGGGCTACCCTCTCATCAATCTCGAATTAGCCAAGTTCATCGGTCAGTCAATGGCTCAGCTCATACTTGGCTACCCAGAGCTAGCGACCATTATTTTCATGACGAATGCGTCGTTTTGCTCCCATAATATCCTACCTCCGTTTTGAAATCCAATGTGGCCCAATATGACCGTGTTATCTGATCAAGATAGCGGCTCGTGGATACCGAATGCTCGCGTGATCCGGGCAAGGATTGTACGAAAGACCCGATTTATTCTACCCTGTCCCCCGGCTACTCCACAGACTTAGTTTGACGCTTGATTTCAAGGTGAGGAGAAGGGGAGCCTTAAGGCAGAGTACGTAATACTTCCCGGAGGGGATTAACATGGAGCCAAGGGAATGCCCAGCGTGACGCGACGGAAACGTGTGCAGGTGGAATGTTTGATAACGAGATGAATCAGAATCGAGGGCCAGCGAGTTAGAGGCATGCGAGTCTCCGAAGATATTGGGAAAATGAGGTCCCGACCTTTCCTGTTTCTTATTTTAGAGACACGCGAGCAACACGATCACACACCATCTTCGTTTTGTGGCTGCAGGTTTAATTAGTCCCTTAGTCAGTTCTGATGTTATACAGGAACGCTTCAAGATTGGTCAATGGAAAATAGCGCAGATTATCGGCGACCTGCCCCCCTGGTCTTCAGTTCTGGGGCTGAGCACAAGGGACCTGCCCACCTCGGCACAGATCCTGACCCCAGTAGCCCAAAAACAACAGCATCTTTCTCGTAGGGCGAAATTTGGCTCTGTAGGATTCGGCCAGCCCTACTAAATCCACTGGAAAGGGGTACCGACTTTGGCACTTGGACCTCCTGGATCTAGCAGCTGAACCCCGCTGCACGAAGGGATCACGAGGTTCAGCCACTCCCGGTAGCAGAAGGAAAGACATCAATATCTCTCTAAATGGATCCTCTGATCAGATATGATCTACGCCCCCTGCATGGAAAGAGAACTCGCCAGTTCCACAAGCACGTCTGTCGGTCCCGAAATCAGCTCATGCATGTATGGCACACAAGTCCTTATTGACGGCACTTAGCGGTGATCTAATTTAGAAACATGCTCACAGGGGGGGAATCTCGTTAGATCCAGGTTTAAGCCCCTTTGTAGTAAGCCGGTAGGTGTCACTAATTGACTAACTTCGTGGTTAAGCTAAGCCTCAGGAGTCTGTATTACGCACCTAGTTTCAGCTTGCTTCAAAGCCTTGCCCCTTTGCAGTGCCAACCCTACGTTCGATCTTTGAGTGTTCAGTGTCTCTCCACGAGTGTTACTGGACTCCAAGGGAGCTTATCTCTATTGAAAGGTGTCCTTCTTAATGACATCAGGGGAAATTTTCCCATCATCACTGAGAATTGGTATTTAGAAAATAAAAAATAAAAAGCAATTAAATTTGTTCTAGCCTGAGCAGTGCGGCAGCTTAGAGAATCTACTAGCATGCCAACCTATCTAAGTTTGCAGAATGAATCATATGAACAGAAAAAAAAAAAAGAAAAAAAAATCGCTCCCATGTCTTTCGTCGTGGCGAACATCGCGCCTTACAACATACCTCTAGCCTTCAATTCCCGGATCAAGGCCCTCTTCTCCTTGGCGTCCTTGACAGCGTGGCTTGCATAGGTCTGACAGTTTTCGCCGCTGGTGCAGGGAATATTGGCCAACAAGTTGTAGTCGGTGCCCTTGTTCTTCAGGAACGCATCGCCGGCCTGTTGGAAGTTGTAGGCCTTCTTGACCTTGCCCTTGAATGAATAGCTGTTCTTGGGGTTCGCGCGGTTTGCGTCCCAGGCGCCGTGAGTGACTTCGCTGACCTGCTTGCCGGTGGAGTCATCGAATGTAAGATGGTGGTACTGGGTGTTGGCGAAGTCCTTTGTTATTGTGTTCTTGGCCTTGTCCTCTGTATGAGTGACGGTTCCATCAATGACCTTGTGGTGCTTCAAGAGACCGGGGCTCTTCTCCTTCATCATGTATCTCTGGCCATCCTGGAGGGTCCTGCTGCCGGCCGCCTTCTCGAGCTTCTCGTAGCTGGCGGTCTTCTCTTCCGTTGGTGGTGGCTTCTTGTCGGGGGCTGGGAGAGTGCATGCTCCATCCCCATCTCGACGTCCAAGGCTGCATGATCCACCGGACTTGGCGGCTGTCTTCTTCTCACCAGACTTGGCGGTGGTCTTCGTGTTGCCAGCCTTAGTAGCAGTCTTCTTGCTGGCGGACTTGGTAGGGGTGTTCTTGGCACCAGCCTTCTTACCAGCAGTGGGTTTATTACCAGCCTTGGCGGCGGCTTTCTTGGTACCAGCCTTAGCAGGAGTCTTCTTGGCACCAGTCTTCTTGCCAGCGGCGGTTTTCTTGCTACCAGACTTGGCTGCGGTCTTCTTGTTGCCAGCCTTAGCAGGAGTCTTCTTAGCTCCGGCCTTCTTTGAAGCAGCCTTAGCGGGAGTCTTCTTTCCGGCAGTTTTCTTACCAGCAGCAGACTTCTTGGCGCCAGCCTTCGCGGGAGTCTTTTTGCCAGCTGCAGATTTCTTAGCTCCAGACTTAGCGGGAGTCTTCTTGGCACCAGCCTTAGCAGGGCTCTTCTTGCCGGAAGTCTTCTTGCCAGCGGTCTTCTTAGCACCAGATTTGGCGACGGATTTCTTGCCGGTAGCCTTCTTCGAACCGGCCTTAGCAGGCGTCTTCTTGCCAGCTGCAGATTTCTTAGCACCAGCCTTAGCAGGAGACTTCTTTCCGGCAGCAGCTTTCTTGCTAGAAGTCTTCTTCGCGCCAGACTTAGCAGGAGTCTTTTTGCCTGCGGCCTTCTTGGCACCAGCTTTGGCAACAGATTTCTTGCCGGCAGGCTTCTTAGCACCAGCCTTCGCGGGAGACTTCTTTCCAGCGGCCTTCTTACCAGCAGCCTTAGCGGGAGTCTTCTTTCCGGTAGTCTTCTTACTAGCAGCAGACTTCTTGGCTCCAGCCTTAGTAGGCGTCTTCTTGCCAGCAGTCTTCTTAGCACCAGACTTGGCAGACGTCTTCTTGCCAGCAGCGGCTTTCTTAGAGCCAGCCTTGGCGGGTGTCTTCTTGCCGGCGGTCTTCTTTACACCAGCCTTTGCAGGAGTCTTCTTTGAGCCAGACGCCTTCTTGTTGGCACCGGCCTTGGTGGCTGCCTTCTTGGCACCAGTCTTTGCAGGAGATTTCTTAGCACCAGTGGTTTTCTTGCCAGCAGCTGGTTTCTTAGCACCGGCCTTAGCGGGAGCCTTCTTAGAACCAGCAGTCTTCTTGGCACCAGCCTTTGCGGGAGTCTTCTTGGAACCGGCAACTTTCTTAGCGCCAGCCTTAGCAGGAGACTTTTTCCCAGCAGCTGGCTTCTTAGCACCGGCCTTGGCGGGAGCCTTCTTAGAACTAACAGTCTTCTTGCTAGCTCCAGCCTTGGTGGCAGCCTTCTTAGCACCAGCCTTTGCAGGAGTCTTTGCGGGAGCCTTCTTAGAAGCAGCAGGCTTCTTAGAGGCAGACTTAGCAGGGGTCTTTTTGGCAGCCGCGGCCTTCTTGGGGGTGGCCTTCTTTGAAGCTGCCTGCTTAGGACCAGCCTTAGCAGGGGTAGCTTTCTTAGTGGCGGCAGCCTTCTTGGGGGCAGCAGCCTTCTTGGGAGCAGCAGCCTTCTTCGCAGGAGCAGCGGCTTTTTTAGCGGGAGCAGCAGCCTTCTTAGCCGGCGCAGCAGCCTTCTTAGCTGGCGCAGCAGCCTTCTTAGCTGGGGCAGCAGCCTTCTTAGCTGGGGCAGCAGCCTTCTTAGCTGGGGCAGCAGCCTTCTTAGCTGGGGCAGCAGCTTTCTTAGCTGCCGCAGGGCTGCGGGGGCTTAGTGCCCAGGCGAAGATGGACTGGGGGGATGGCTCAGGGGCTCTCTCCAAGATATTGGGGGAAACAACATCTCGTTTCTCAGCAAGTTCAGGGAGGGAGTCGACGTCTCGCTGGTGAATGTCTTGGGAGATCTCAGTCGCCGAAGCCAATGCCGCGGCAAAGAGGAGGGTAGCAATTGGTAGCCTCATGGCTGCGGTAGCCGAATAGGATTCGGCACACGGCAAATAAATGACTTTGGAAACGAAAAGGGGTGGGAGCAGATTTGGAGAAAAGCGAAGAAACAGAGAATAAAACTTGAAAGAAAAGGACGCAAGGAAACGAAAAATGAAAATGAGAAAAGGAAAAGGAGAAAGGGAAGACAAATAGAAAACTTTCAGTGATGGTTTGTTGAGATCATGATGGACAATCCAGCTTCACTCAAGCGGGATCTGAGGCACTGTTTATGCTTCTAGAAAATCAGCCCAACCGCAATCTCGGGATACATTTTGATCACCTGAAAATAACTGTATGCAGGGACGCTAACCAAGTCTACCGAAACGAGCAGCAATATTCAATAAGGGCGCCAGCCTGGTAGGGGGTTGTAGCTAATGATAGCAACGGCAGCAGAGGGTGCTCGTAACACAGTAATACCGCTTTCCTCGTAACTGATTAGCGATGCGTGTGACACCGGATGGATTCATTGTCGACTTGACACATTGGGAAGTGTGGCACGTTGTGTGGGTGTTCCCAACTCATCTTTCGGCGACCTCGCGTGGGGATTGCGTGCGCCAACCCCTGCCAGCTCGGCGATGAGCTTCGGATCCAAATAGTAATCTCAGTGCCGAAGGAGGGGTGGGACAGGGGTCAAAGTGAAACTTATGGATGTATAATATATTAGTGTTGTGCGGCTGATCTGATGAGACAAGCCTTGACCAAAGTCCCTCCTCTAAGCCACGCATTTATGCACTGTGGCCTGAGGCATCCAGATTCACCATTGTGCCCTTTCAAATGCCCCTCCTTCAGCATCCCACATGCAAATCACCACATCACAACCACACGCAAGATCATCACCTCTGCATCGCAATCAAACCATTCAGCACAGCATCTCACCATCTTCTTTCATTCATCTCATCTGAAATCAATGGCGTTCATCAAGGACCTCCTCCATCGCGTGGCCGGCGCGAGCTCCAGCTCCTCTCACAAGGGCCCCGCAACCACCCCAGAGTTCCTTGCAGAGCGACAGAAATGGCAGGAAACACGCACCCAGGGTCGGTATAATCCCCAGTCCCTGCATGGACCATGGGCCCTTCAGCCTAGCTAGCTCAATAGACTAACAGGAGATTGTTTTTTCATGAGTGTAGACGAAATCCTTGCCGACTTCACCAAATACCTCCAGAATGGCACACCCAGCTGGGGTCCTGCATTCAACGAGAAGGAAATTGAAACTTTACAGAAAACTTTCGCAGCTCACGCCAAGTCAGAGAAATGTATGTCTCGCTCTTATATTTGCTGCCGGAAATCTGGTCGAAAAACACTTGTGCTGATGAATCATTGTAGCCTGGGATCAGCAATCACTAGAGTCCTACCTCCTCACTCAAATCCCTGAGGGAGATGAGACCCTTCTCAAAAACTCTATCCCCGCGCTTTGGGATTTGACTGTCTACTTTGCTCAATGGCCTTTCAACACCGCATCCAGCGGTCCAACAACCAGCCTAACACAGCCTGGCTTGGTCCGCGCCGTCGCCTTCCTCAGCGGCAGACATTACAGGCTGTTCAAGTCATGGAAGAACAGCGACATGGAATTCAACCGCAAGACTGATCAGCCAGTTCTGGAATACATCTTCCGGGCTTTGGCCGATGCCCAGCCAGCGGGGCAGCAATCTGGCGCATCATCTGATCGCGATGTGCTTGATATCTTGAGCGTGACCCAGCCAGCCTTGAGTGAGTCTACAAAAACTCTTACTCGCGAACAATTGACTCCCACGGCTACTCGCTTGGCTCCCCCTCCTGCTCCAGAGCTTTCGAGCCTTGCTATCCCCACTCAGAAGCTAGTTCAGCTCCTTGACTTGAGCATCGCGGTTCTCCAGCAAGCTGCCAAGTTTGACACCAGTAGCCGTCCCCAATTGATCAAGAAAGATCTGGAAGCTGCCAAGGTGGAGATTCAGAAGGGGGACAAGGTGACATTTGATACCTACTCAAAGCTGCTGGACAAGGAAGAGTGGGCGGAGAAGAACAACAATGTCGATACCATCTATGATGCCATTGCTGTTCTGTTCAACACTTTCACGAACCCCCAGAGCTTGAAGACTGGCGAGACGGTTAACTGGTCTTCGGGAAAGAAGGAGAAGCTGTATCTTGGATCGCTGCGAAGTCTGGGGCTCACTCACAATTAGGAGTCGAAGAGGGGGAGCAGGGAAGTAGTGTTATTATTTGTCATCTCTCGCGTCCTTGGAGGATAGATAGCGTGTATGTTTTGGTCTTTTTTTGTTTCTAAGTTCCTCTCGTTTCATTTGATGGCATGATCTTGAAATATTGGTTTCTTTGACCTATCAATGCCTACTGAAGTAGCGGCCTTTCCTTTCGTACTCACCGAGGCATGTGAGCATGAAGGAGGGCTACCCTAGCAACGGTCATTACCTCCATCGCGTTGCCAGCAAGTCTTGAAATTAGCTGACAATGTTGATGAATTAGTGAGGCCCTCTGGGTTAACGCGTAAGTACTTCTTACTTTTCGGTCCATCCTGAATCTTAGACCCTCAAAGGCCTCGACTTCATGACTATCGTCAGCTATTTTGCTAGACCGATCGGCCAGTCTGGGTCCGAGAAACTTTGCCCACTCGCTTTAATGCCCTTTTTCAAACTTTTCAATGTCGATCTAAACCTGGATGGTGACATCGTGTCGAGTGGCTCAACTGGCGGCCCGCATAAGTACCGACTGCTGCATTGTCCTCGGGCTGGCTACAGTCATCCCAAGGTCCAGGTTCTTGTCGGAGCTCGTGTGTCTTCCACAAAGTGCAGAAATGAAACCTTGATTCAGCACTCAGTGTTTATCTCAACAGTATAAGCGAGACAAAATTTCATAAATGTACACGCCGCATCACCCGAAAGTGAAACTTTGTTGAAGAGCCAAGCTGAGAGATAGCTAGCAATAGCCACTCCTAAGACCTTCGCACGGCTCAATATATGAGTCAGGTGGGTGAAACCCATCACCTCAATTATGTACACAGCTAGTTGCGCTAAGGTTGTGCTACACCCTTCCATCTGTGTTAGGGATTTTCCCACAAGTGTCTTTGATTCTTTACACGGATATTGTGCATTTAAAAGACCATTTTTTTCACGGCAAATACTGGATTGATATTCATGAAGGTGGTTTATTATTTATAGCCATGGGTCATTCACCGGGACCTCCCTAAGCCAGTGACGATACTCAAAGCGACGCTGGAGGAGGCCCTCGCGCATCTAACAAAAACCGAAAAGGTTCTGGGACATTCAAGCCCGATCTCAGCTTGCACCACATTGAGCCTCCCATTTCAGCAGAGCATGGATAGTTCAGGAAATTGCTGTCTCTCAAGAAGCTATGACAATGTGGTGTGGCTTTCATCGCATCCCGTGGAATGCGCTGGTGTGCGGTGAATGATATATTCTCCCTACCCAAAGCCACCGCCAGAATATACTGCGACTCCAAATCTAATCAGCTACGAAAGGCTCATATGAAGAAATATCAATACTGAGAGAAGGAGAAACAACACAGAAGGGAGGGAAATTGGCGAGTGAGCTACGCTTCGGGATCTGTCTCTCACACTACACACTGTACTTCGGCCATTTCTTTTATTGGTTGTTTGCGGTTAGCCTTTGGCTGGTCTTTGAGGTTGATGACTCTTCAGTTAGCTTCGTTCGAGGGCTAGGTTAACGTTGGATGACAGATTGATCCAACTAGAAACCTAGGAGAATGGACAAATGCAAAGAAATACCACGAGATTGGACAAGTCAAAGTTTTAGAAGGTGTTTATTTTTACTAAGATAACAACTCGGCGACTTGCCGAACTGGTGGTCCCAGAAGATATTTATTTGATTACATCAAACGTTTCAGGCCAGTCTGATCCATACAAAGTCCTCGCATCTACTCTTCCGTGCCAAACATAACTGCTTGGCATCTAATTCTATTAATCACCCCTCGCCTCCTAATCTTTTGTTCTTCATCTGCAAATGGTCTCATCTAAGCCTTGGTGGCCTTGGCGGCGGAGGAAGAGGTCTTGGTGGCCTTCTTGGAGGTCTTGGTCTTGGTTGAAGACTTGGTGGTCTTGGTAGAGCTCTTGGTAGTCTTGGTGGAGCCAGCAGAGCTCGTCTTGGTCCCGGCAGGGGTCTTGGTGGACGAGGTCTTGGTGCCGCCGGCAGCGGAGGTGGTACCGGTAGAGCCGCCGGAGCCGCCGCCAGTGCCGGAGCATGGGCCGATCTTGGAAGGCTCGCTGCCGTCGGTCACACCCTCGTAGTCGATGCACTCATCGCCGACGCTGGTCATGGAGACGCCGGAGATGCTGGCGGTGTCGCCCATGTTGGAGTTGATGCCGACGAGGACCTTGCCGTTGGAGGCCGAGCCGCCGGTGACGATGACGTGACGGGCAGGCATGGACTTGCAGTTGCCGCAGCTGCGGTACATCTTGCCAAAGTCCGAGACCTCGAAGTTGTTAATGGCGACGGTGCCTCCACCGTTGTGCTGGATGACCTTGTCCTCGGCGCCGGTGGCACCTCCGCCGTTGATGGTGGTGGTCTCGCCGTCGTCCTGCTTCTTGATAGAGAAGGCATCCTCGCAGACGGCGTCCCACCAGACGTTGGTGATGGTGCACCCACCGTTGCAGTGGACACCCTCGATCTGGTTGGGGCCAATGATGACGTTGGAGAGGGAAGCACCCTTCTCAAGGATGAAGACGGCGTCAGAGTCACCACCTTCGTTCTGGCCAGTGCACTTAACACCACGGTCATACATGACGTTGCCACCGTCGAAGGTCTCACCGGCAGCGATGGTCATGGGGGCGCTGAGGACGCTGCTACCAGCGGCAGCAGGAGCACGAGCCTTGAGGATGGAAGGGGCCTTGGTGGGCATGGGCGCAGGGCTGGCGTTGACAGCGATGGCCATGGAGGCGGCGAGGATAAGTCTGTACTGCATTTTGAAAGATATTGTTTGAAAATTGAGACAAGTCTTGTTGTTCGTGTTTGTTGAAAGATTGGAGGTTCAAGCCGGCTTGATTTTTGAGTTGGATTAAAGAGAATGTGTCAAGCGCAGCTTGATAGCAATGGAAAGAAGGTTGGTAGAGTTGAGAACGATGGTGTTTGATGGGACTGGAGATTCAAAAAAGACCAGATTCTCTTGCGAGAACGAGAGAGTTTATACTCGACACGACGCCGTGTCCCTCGCCGATCCCGTCCCCCCTTCAGCTTAACCGCCCGTTGATGTTTTACTTGTGACATGGATAATCACTGACATGTTTTCGATTCCCCTGGGTTGAAAAGCATGGGTCGGACGCTGTCCCGGAAGTGGGAGTGCAGCGTAACCACAACCCTGTTCTTGGAGATGGAGACCGAGCCTTGGATCCACCGGGTAAGGGTAATAAAACAGACTTCGGGTCAGGAGACAGCGAGGACCCCTTGACGCACCATGCTCCCTTCAATTTCATCTCTCCGCTGTCGCTGTTCTCCCAACCCGCTTCAAAAAGAATGATTAATGACACCAAACACATGATGGAAATCTCTATGATCAATGATTGACTATCGGCCCAAGCCAAAACTTCAGCAGCCGCTCTCGTTGCATAGCCTTATTTCCGGTGATTGCAGTGGCCCTGCGCTCGTATTACGGTAGTGTTGTCCCGACACCTGAAACCACGAAAAGCTTGTCTATAATTCCCACTCAGTATGCTTAGCAGTGCTCAAGCAGCTGAAACCCCTGCCCCTCCCCGCAGCTAATGGCACGTTCTCAAACAACGTGCGCTATCTTTCAGGGGCCGAAGGGGCTGGTCGTGTTTGAAAGCTTGTTTCGTAAACGAAATCTTCTCAATTTGATCGGAAGACCTTCTCCCACATCCCAGAACGGAAGCGTGCGGGATTAAGACGAGACGGCTTTGGCTTCGCGGCATATGAGCTCTGTCAATCATTACTCTTGAGGCCGCGGAGTCATGTTAGGCTTCGGATTATGCTTGCTCGACTGATAACCGTAATTTTAAGGACCGATTGGTGCTCCGTACAGTCTGCCCCATCTCGCGACACGAATGTTGAGTGCGGCCCCATACATTGTCGCTCTTGGGCCAAGAGTCTTGGCCCAAGAGATTCGGCCAAACAAGCTTTTGAATCGCCCGCCTACTGATGTAAAATTGAGGTTCCGTGAGGGAAGCTACCCGCGCGAGGGATGTGGGAGTACGGCTGGCCAACTTCAGCTCCTCAAAAGGGTTCAAACCTGGTCTCATCTAAGGGGTGCGAATCATAACACCGTTGATAAGATTGCGGTGAGTCCAGCCCGATAGGTCCGAATACTGGTTGGTTGCCTCTTGAACCAATATTCGGACTCACAGGACACTAGACCAGCCTAATTTCCGTAAACTCTCTCCCATCGAGTGCTTCTCCCGTCATAATACCATCCAAATACGACGGGCCTACGAATGTGTGAAGTCCTTCCGGGTTGCTAGACCCGGCCCGCACAATGAATGGGACTCTACCGCCGCGAAGAACCCAGACCTCATCACCAACTACTAGGTCAGTTGGGCCGAATCCCAGTAATCCCTTGTCGGTCAAAAACATTGTCCGGTGGCACATATTCGCGAATATACTCCTGCAAACAGGAGTCTGAGCCCCAGTCCTCATGAAATTCTCCGCCTGTTCCAGATCTCTTGACGTAGCGGACCGCAACGGGGCGAATTCCTCGTCCAAGAAGAGGTTGGCGAGCAGACTTCCCCAGAAAGACTCCGGCCACGCCAAGGGTCCCACCAAGTCTTCATCCCACTCCCGCCCCTGATAAAATTCCTCTGCTAGAGCGTACCACTCCCGGAGCTTGGCGATGGCTCCGGGGAGCGAGAGGGCCGTGCTACCCGGCTCGTCGCTGTCGGGTTGAGGTTTCAACCCGACCAGCGCTACCTGGTCCACCATGCACCCGGTCAATGTCAGCGCATTTGTCTGCTGGTCGTAGTGAAAGCTAGTCATGTCGACCTCAAGCTCGCCAGAGGCCGAGTACATCTGATATGTGTGCATAAGATACCACGCCGCACAGTCGTCGTCGATGTTGAGGGCTCGCCCGTGATAATCAACACCCATGTCTAGAGCCCAGCGTGGAATCCCCTGAGTGGTGACCGGTAGCACTTCATGTCGTCGCAGGGCAAGGGCGTGTAAGTCCCTGCCGTGCTGGATAAGATCCGCGGTGAACATGGCGTATAGCGTTCCTGGCGACAATCTATAGTTACAGTCCTCCACTCGTTTCAAAGTCCCCGGTGGGAAAAGTCCCAGGAACCCATACACTTTGTCCAACGGGTCGGACGCCTGGCGAAAGTTCCACCGAAATGCCGTGTCAAGAGGACCATGTGTTGCCTCCTTGGCCCACTGTAGCCCGGTCGTATGTGCAAAGAGTGTGAATAGGACATCCCTCTGGGAGTGTGTGACATTGTTCAGAGCCGGAATGTAAGTTCGGAGGTGGACGAAGCCTGCATTGATGACGACATCCCAAGGAATTGACAAGGGCCCCCAAAGAGCGAGACTTTTTGATGGCAGGATGGCCTCTTGCAATGTCCAGACGCGATGCCACCACTGATTTTGGCCTACTGAGATAGACCTCAGCGCCTGTATTGGCTCCTCGAATGTATCTTCGGACTCCAGTTCAGGTGGAGGGCTCCTTTCAATCACGTCGTCATCTGCATACCCATCTATGAAGTTGACAATGTTCAAAGCCGACATTGCGGTGCGCACAGAGAATTTCTTGTCGATTTCACCAAACCAAATCAGACACTGCGTGGTTTTGGCGTATATCTGGCCCATTAGGGGCACTTGCATAGCCTTTTCCTCAATGTCGTCTTGATTAATACAAATTTGATCGACCCAAAGTGTTCTCTTCTTGGTTGGAAGCCGGATCCGTCTAAGAGCTGCCGCGAGGCCCTCGGTGATGGTAACACAATTGCCATCAACGGTGATTTCCGATGAATTCACGCCATCCCCCCATACGTAGGATAGGGCTTCGTACTTTGGGTCCTCAGATAGCGGCACGATCCGAGTTTCGCCCACCAACTCGGCTTTGTTGTCTTTAGACGTAGGAAATAAATCCAAGACGCGAATCTCGTTGTTGGAGAGCATGGCCGTACGGCCCGTGCCAACTTCGTTGTGATGGTAATCTAGCAACGAAAGACCAAAATGCGCCAATTTCCCACGGATCCCAGATCAATATTCGCTTACGTTTAAGACTGTTAAATTGGCGGGGCGTTGAATGAAGCTGCAGGGCTCAGCTTTGAGACTTGCTGGTTTGATGAGCGAACTTGTCCAGCCACTACCCTAGAGCAATGTAACATATGTCTCTACCTACACTTTACCTCGACTTGCAATCCGTTAAGCCAAGCTAGAATTTATTATTCGTCCAGTTGCAATGGAGAAGAGGCGTTTCTATTTGTGTTCATTGATGCTAACATGGCGCGATCAGCTTGAGTGGGCTGAATCTGCCTCATTGGCTGATTCGACCTTGTTTCTTAGCAAACATATTAGTGTGACTGCTAAGGAGAGGAGCAATTGAAAGGCTGCGTGAGACATGAGGCCACATCGACCCCGCTTGTGTGGATCGTACCAGATGAACTTCTAGTTTTGATTGGCTAGGTACCGGGATCTCTCCTGTGCCCCTGAGACGTGTTCCACCTAGATTTGGAGACTAGCCAATAGGCGGGGGTTGCAGCGCTGTAAGCCTCGGGTCAGCCACGGTACCACACCTTGTTCATTATCGGGCGCTATGACTAATCAACATGGGATTCCGGAAATACTATATTCCGCCAGCCAAAATTGAGATTTCCCATTTTAAGGTTTCCCGCCAATTTTGAAGCTAGGACTGATTCTACCACAACTCAGAACTCGGTTAAGCTTGAATTGACGAGTTCGACGCGAGAGATTGAAAGATGTTTCCAGTGCTGCACTGCATGAGTGGCTGCATGCTGCTTTTACATCGGCCAGCTGATTACGCGTTGGGTGAAATGCTGTGATCAGCTGGATCCACTTGCATGTAGTTACTAATGAGCCAAGAGAAGTGGTTGTGTTGTTATTTTTTCGTTCTTGCAAGTCCCAAGAATTCTCATCTTTACTTTCTTTAAAAATAATCGCTCTGTCCAAAAAGGGAGTCCCAAAATTGTCAGAATGCCCGGCGCTGTTAAATCTACGGCTTGCCAGACGTGCAAGCTCCGTAAAATCAAGGCAAGCTATGAGACCCGGAATCTGCAACGGTTGAGCGACATCGCTAACCTTATTTCTTTTGGCGCTAAATCCAGTGTGATCAAAATTGGCCGGGATGTACGCAATGTACCCGGAAACGCTTGATATGTCCTGGGCCAAGCTCCCTGCTCAAGTTCGTCAACAACGGCCAGAACCAAGTCAAAGGAGATTTCCCAATACAGCCTGCGGAGGGCTCTGGGGTTTTGAAACTCCGTCAAAGCAGACCATATCGCTTGCCCAAGAGAAACCAAGACCCGTCGGGAACCGAGAGCCAATCACCACAAGCCGTTGGTCACTACAACGCCTTTCGTTTTCAAACCTCGATCCCTCGCGCTGATCTTACCACGAGGGCGGACCGTGTTGCCTCCCGCCTCGTTCACCACATCAAGGGCGAGCGAAACTGGGGTTGGGTCTTCTCGATGCAGTACCTCCAGCACCTGCCGAAACGGTTGTCAGAAAGCCCAAGCTTGCGAGACACGGTGGCCCTCTTTTGCTCGGTCTTGGGAGAATATCGTCGAGGCAGGGAGGCAACTGAGTTCCTAACCCTGCCTTCCTACGGTAAGGCTCTCAACAGTCTGCGGAGGGCGATCAAAACAGGGCATGGTTTGAAAATCGAGACTCTGGCATCAATTATGATGCTGGAGCGTACGGAGAGCGTATTCGATCGAGGGCGCGATACTATGTGCCTGAGACATACAGAGGCCATTGCGACCATGATTCAAAAGATAGGACCCCCTAAGGCTGATGATCAACTTCACCTTGGCTTGGTTAGCGACAGCTATGGCACATTGGTATGTCGATTATTTCCAAAGCCCTTTAGCACGCGGATTACCCTGGCTTGTCGAACAGTCCTGACTGTTCAATATCTAGGCCGTTCATTTTTTGAAGACAGGTCAAGATAATTTCTTGTCCCAAGACCCATGGAAAGGGATCATTGAAGAAAATATCTCAACTTTGCTTGAGAATAAAGAAGCCCAGCCGCATCTAAAAAGGATCCTTATTTTATGCAATGAAGGCTTTGGCAACTTGCCGAAATTAGTGCGACGCTGCCAGATGGTCCATTTCGGACCTCGCGACTCCGAAGCGGCAGAGAAGGCTGCACAATTGATGTCCAGCCTCGCAGACATGGAGAGGGCTCTTGAGCTCGCATATCGCGAATTATTCGAGAAGACCGCTGACTTGGGACTAATACGCGACAAGACCGACCCCAACTCCATCACCGGAAGTAGCTACGAGCTCTCATCCGTCTATCTGGCTCAATTCTTGGTGTCATCTCTTGGCCTCCAGCTCTACATGCTGCGAATGCTCTATGACTGCAGTATTGTCTATAATCCAGATGAAACTCCTGACCTCTATGCCAGGCTCACAGAATTATGCGTGAAGGTGTGGAAGTACGGCCCTTATCTAAAAAGCCTCGAGGCTTGTGTAGCTTCCAGCACGCTCAGCAACATTCTACCGACTTTGGAGTTTGCAAACGTAGAGCAAAAGGAAGTTCTGATGGATATGATTATCGAAATGGACAGATTCCGGCAGCGTTTGCCAAGAGACAGGTTCGCGTTGGAACAGGCGTCTAACATTTTCACGATGCAGGTCACCGGCCGACTGCCTCCTACAAGTTTGTAAATAGCCTTAGAACATCAATTGGCAACTGCTGTATTCAAGAAATTGCCCTATATTGTTACATTGATATTGGAAGGACAATCTCACTCGTGATATGCACGATAAGCGCCAAGGAAATGGCACAGCGGTGATTCGCTTGTGTACTGTAACATAAATATTTTGATGGATCAGTTGGTGGTTGCCTAACTTCTACCTAATTAATTAATTTACTAATTAGGCACACACCGAATAAAACCACAACTTGGCTCATTGCATTTGTTGTCACCAACTCAGTCACGCTCGGAACTCATCTCTGAGACTCACAGACGAATGCCTCTTGTACCTCATACCAATTGATTCGCGAAGACAATTTCCCCAATGAGCCAAGGGGATGACTTGCGACAGCTCGAGCTGGAACTCCGACGGGATGGAACCCCCCTCACCAATTATTTCCGACACACTCGCATGGCGAGAGGAAACACGCCTTCCTTGGCCACGGGACATGTTTCTCCTACGCGAAGGATGCCAGCTGAGCGCCAGGGAGAGCTCTGGATCGTGGACAGGATCCTGGAGCCCCAGACAGTCGCCCATTTCCTCGCCTGCGTGTTTGGTGCCCCGCTCCCCAATGGTCAGCAGAGCAAGTTCCCGGTGCTCTCTGTCGATGAGGCCCATTACATCAAGCAGCCCTTGTCTGAGTGGGCGCCGCCTCCGTACGATGGCAGCCAGCATTCGGTCATGGGCAAGATCTTAACGCATATGGGTTCGTATGAGGATGAGAACAATTTAACGGTTCTTTCCAAGGAGCTCAGAGCCATAAAGTCGCTGGTCTGGTCGGGGATGGCACCAATATCTGAGAGGCGCTGGCGCGAGTTGGACCTCGACTCGCCCGGGAGCTTTCACAACGCCTGCCGGTACTTTTGTGCTGTCATTGACGTGTTCCATTATCTCAACATGCCGGCAGTGAAGCCTCGCTTGCGTAAGACGTACAACGTGATATGGGACCAACTAAAGATCTTCGACTATTCGCTCAACAACAATAGGAGAGCTAAGGGAGAACCAAAAGTTAACCTCACTGGGATGTGGTATGAGTACATCGATGCGCTATTCGCCTCGATAACTCAGCACGCCCATGATTGGGTGACAACCCACATTGAACGGCTTCGCGGGCCAGTTCTCCAGCGTTTGAACGACATTGTGGCGAACAAATCCGCCCCAGCTGGACGACTGGACTTTTCACAGGAAGAGATGGATCTCTCGAACAAGCTTCACGACCTTGTGGAGAACGCAGCCCAGGCAGACACGGCCATCTTCCTGCCGATGGACGGGTACAAAGGGTGTGAGCTCGTCAGCCAGGACAATGTACCGCTTCCAGATGCGAAGAATCCGTACCGTGAGCACCCCATATCATTTTCAGCAAACAAACGAGTTCGAGAGTTTGATTACTACGCCCGAGTCAAGTACTTGACGACGTATAAAAAATGGAAAGAGTTCGACAATACCGAGCTGGCCAGCCTTGTCGACCGGCTTGACTTGGTGTCCAAGAGAGACAGCTTAAGCGCGAACCAAGTAATCGCACAGCACCAGGCAAGAATGGAACTTCGAGGACCGACCAAACCACCATTTGATGAGCTTTGGGTGATTGAATCCCAACGCCAGGGAGGCAACAAGCGATTTGGGTTCATCGCCTATCGGCTGAGCTATGATCATACAGATGAGGAATGGGAAGAGTTCAAGACCAAGTTCGAATCGGATGTATCAAACTGGCGAAGCGAGATGCCTGATATGGATGAAATAAAGGCGAGATCCGTAGTTGAGTGGCGGGACCCGCGCACAGTTGGCCTTCCCGAGAATGATGTTGACGCCGTTCGGAAGTAAGTTCAACCTATACAATACTTTGTTTTGGGCCTCCACTAATAACTTTTCCAAGGCACTTCGCTTCTCTTGAGAAATTCAACTTGATCCCCGAGCATGTTAATGATGGAGTTATACTCGCTGCAGACAAAGCCGCCATCGACTCATTTCTGAAACCAACTCCAGGTCAAGGTGGGTTTGTGCTCGTTATCGAAGCTGGGTTTGACCCAGACGATGAGTGGCGCAAGCAGCGAAACGAGTCACCAGGATACCCAGGTATCATGAAAGTTCTGGGAAGTGTACTTTGGGATGACGTGAGTGCATCGATGCTTTTGCAAGCGCGGCGACTGGATGATCTCTGGGTCTTGGCCATGGACCATCCCTTTAAGTTGTATGAGGGATACATGCCGCGGCATGCTCCGGTCTAGACAGATTGATAAAGCACAGTCATAGCAGGCAATTAAAACGATTTCAGTTTACAACTGGTAAAAACCTTCGAAATAAATGGAAAACCTCATTCAATGCGCTATACAGCGTGGCCCGGCTACTTGTGGAAGCATTCTAGAGTGCCCCTCCATCTACTGCAGACTTTCCACCACCCCCCTGCGCAAACGCCTCGCGCAGAGCCTTATTCTTATATCTCACCAATCAATGCGCGTTGCAACCCAATGAATCTGCACAATCGTTCTGGGCTTCAATGCGTCGGTGGAAAAACGACGGGCCGCATTTATTACGACTCTAACTCTAACAAGCCCATTGGGTCAGATGCTCGCCCGTCAATAACTCTACCTGAATAATAAAGGTGCGGTGATGCCGCCAGCTGGTCATTTTGCTCAGCCCAGCTTGCTCCCAGCCCGTACTTTTATGGCCTGACTCTTTGTTAGACTGCATCAAGCTGTCATATATTCCAAGTGAGTCGTTGAATTTCATATGGAAATTCGCGATAACAATTCCCCAACAAAAGACGCATGGCTGTAGCTCTTGCCATGGGTGGTCCCGGCCTTGGCCCCGGGTCGTTGACTCTACAAGTAGTAGACGAATGTGTCAAATGTAAGCCACGCTCTGTTACTCTATGCTAACGATGCCATTAACCATGATCATTGTGGATAGACTATAAGTACTTCAGCGAGGCATCCAAGATGCCAGAGAAGCACCGATACTTGCAACTTCGACTGCAGCTGGAACAACAACGATTTCTCGTCTTCGTCGAAGAAGCTGGGCTGTTGTCCACCGAAGCCGGTTTCGAGACGCTTTCGATCAACTCGACCCTACTCCAGGAAACCCTTTCCGAGATTAAGATGCTCTTCGAAATTTTCCAGCAAGCGAACGGGAAATACGTCGATATTGTGCTTCCGGATGGGCATGAGAAAAAGTTGAGCCCTCAGCTGAGCATGATGGAACTGCTTTGCGCCACACAAGCTCCTATTGCCAAGATCGACATCTCAGTTGCTCCGACTGTGAACAAGTCGTTGCGATCGGACTCGATACTCAAAAAAATAATATGGAAGGCGAGAAAGCTGCGTACAATCATGGTCGAGCCAAAACGTTTAGTTTGGGTAGCATTTGACCAGAAGGCCTTCACATCTTTGATTGCAAACCTGGAGGTTCTCAATTCTGCCCTTATTTCCCTTCTTCACTCCTCTAGGAGCCGTCGAATAAATCAGGCCGTGCAAGCAAGTTATCAAGAAATCATGCAGATGAAAACCGACCTGCAAGGCCTGGAGGCTATGATTCAATCCAAAACCTACAACTCCAATCGAGAGGAGGAAGACGATCAGTCAGCCGTAACACCGACGGGAAGCTTGGCTTGCCAGTCTGTCACAATAGAGGCGAGATCAAAAGTTCAGCCGATGAAAGATGACAAGGAATTGGCTAATGCAAGAATTCATCGTTTGGACATCGATCAGTCTGATGATCTTGCTACTCCACCTTCGCCCAGAGATGAGAGAGGGGAAGCTCAAATCAAATTGAGCTTGACATCTAACATCGACTCTGGCTGCAGCGACCTGATAACAAGAACATCGGTCTCGAAAAGAGGCTACTGCGAGACAAGAATGGCGTCTGGACCCTCACGAAGGGTATCGCGACAAGATGATGCTCCGATCTTAGCCACGCCATTATGGCAGGGCAGCGCCCAATCCACACGAAAAGTGAACATGATCCTCAATGCAATGAGTTTCAACAAGTGCGAAAGCAGCTATGAGGACATCTCGCAGAAGCTGGCTTGCGTCACCGATTACTGGCTACCCACCACGTCTCGCTCCACAATGCCGGAAGAATCGAGAAAAGCAATGCAAATCCCGGAGAAAGCAGAGTTGCACAGCGCAACAAAGAATGGGTGGCAGACGGTTATACTGATACGGCGCGAAGATATCTCAGGCAATTGGATCCCGGCCAGCCTCGTATATTGTTACAAGTTAGAGGTGCGGCTGAATAAGGAGCAGGGCCACTTGGCCCTGAGAGGGCAACATTTCACTTCATCTGAATACGTTGAACTGACCTTCACCGTCAGCGGAGGTCGGGTTCTGAAGCGTGACTTTTGGATAGCGCCGGTGACGGCACCGCTTCATTTGCTGATTTGGAACACTTCGGCATCGCGAGACTCCCTTTGACTGCGTTAAGACTCGTGGGTTAAGAGGTGGAACTGACTATGATAACCATGCCCTGCAAGAATATCTATGGCGTACTTGGGTTCATTGTGTTGAGATGTTGGGTTTGGCATCGTTGGGTTTGGCATCTTTCATTGCTGTTTTTAATTTTGAACTCGAACTCTCTTCCGTATGGTGTAGTTGTGTGTCAATGTGATGTGAACAAAGGAAAAGGAGATGGTGAATACTTGATAAAGTATCTTTGTCTGGCTAGTCTGTCCTCATCATCCGAGATCAAAACTGACTGGAGACTGGTATCAGCCTCGTCGGGGGGATGTTAATGATATAATTGAGCGTGTGTTGGTGGGAGAACAACGGGAATGCGCAGCTATAAGCTAAATGGAATAGCCAATGACCCTTGAAGGTGAGAATTTTGAGACCTTTGAGGCACTTTGACACTCCTCACAGCAACGCTATTATTTATCTGACAGAAAACCAGCGCCCTAACGAGAGTGATTTTAACCTGCTCGAGAGGTCGTGGTGTCCGTGATTCGAAAGCTCGGAATCGAAACAACAAGATGATTAGCTTTCCATACCGCTTGACCTTATGACTAGACAAGCAGCGGAAGAGGTAGAAAGGCATAGCGAGATTCCCAAGAAAAACGCTAAACCGGAAGCGGTAATAAAGTCTATGGCTGGACTTTATCACCACTTTCAGTTTGGCGTCTCTTGGGCTATGCTGTCCTCCTACTGGAGACAGTTGCACTACGTGAAGTCACCATTTTCGTTGCAAATTGCTTCTGGTTTTGTGAATCATGGAAGCAGGCCCTGTGACAAATCAAGGGTGACTTTGCTAAATCATGTTGCCTTTTCGAAAGGCCTGAAAACTTATACCCTGGCGTCAGGTTGAATGCACCTACCTAAGGCATTGTTATTGTTACATGTAGTTATCGCTAACCACCTGGCCTGGTTACTCTTTATAATGAGCTTATCTACTAGCGCTAAGGTTGCAATTGGGCCCTCATTGTTCAGCTTTTTGTTCTTCTCGCAGCTTAGCTTCTTTACTCTCAGATACGTACTTGGCAAATATTCCGGTCGCTAAGAGGGGGCTGCCCGAGTCCGACGAAGCTGTCAACAATCAGGCTATCTGAAGGCGACAAGTTATTCAAGAGTTTTTTCTCTTAATGGAGTCGGCGGAAATGGGGGCATGTAAGCATTTAGTAGTCACACTGTGTCGCCGGCTCAAACGTGTTCTGTGGACTACCGTTAGAGCGAATATGCCTGGGTTCACATGAGAAAAGAGGCTGATGAACGACGAGAAGGATTCAAGATGGGTGATAGATCTATAAATCTAGGCAAAGGCTTGACTATGTGACCGACTTGACTCTAGCAGGCGCGCTCCTCTGTGATATCGGCCCCCTTTGATACTCATTTGCCAATAAGACCTGCAGGAGATAAAGGAAACAGAAATGGGTATGTGGCTCCCCCAGTGAGTCTGGACCAACCAATGCTACACAGGTAGTTTGATGCTCGTGCCTTCTCGGAGGAGCGTGGAAGCACCACTTACCTCAATTTTGTCAAAAATCTCTTTGGTTTCCCGTACTGAATTCACCGGCCGTTTCGGTGTTGAGTATCACCTACGATAGCTATTTCATATTTATTACCTCCCCACGCTTCCCAAATCACTCACAGACTCCTTACTACCCGCACACTCGTGCATGTATTCCCACACAAGTACTCCTGCCCGAACATTTGCTAGCGACATGCTGGCGGTTCCAGACGCCACACAGCGTGGCGTGGACGGAAAATTACAGATGCGTCCTCCAACACTACCCGACAGCACGCTGGACATCGCCTTTGATGTGAGTATCCATTATGGTTGCCTATGTTTTCCTGTTCCTCTAGTCAACTCGACGTCTTGAATACTTAGGCCACTAACTGTTTTCGTCCCTTGGTAGTACAGACAAGAATCTAAGCTGATAAGCGCCTTTCCTCGTGGTGGCAAAGTATGGGAAGGCCTGAGAGCACGCCAGGGCCTGCAACCTTCCCACTTCATATCGGCTGATGCCATGAAGAGAATGGGGCTCTCTGTACCACTGAACAGCGAGCAGGAGATCACTTGGTGGTCCCAGATTAAGACTGAGCAGGCCAAGAAAGTTCGTTGCACGGTGGTGCCGTCCATTACAGAGGGCATCGATCTTGCTTTCGGTACTAGCAGCGACGATAATGGGTCGGAGGCACCGGGGGCCACCTATTCTCAAGCCGCCTCGACTGAAAAGGCTGAAACTGGTGAGCAATCATCTCTCTTAGGTGGTATGAGCTGAACGAATGAATTGCTGACTATGAGGCAACCTAGAAATTGACGACACCCTCAATTCTAGCCTTCTCTTTCGTACGAAGACTGCATGTGAAATCATTCGCTGCGCCATCCGCGAAGTGGTGGAAAGTGATTCGAGTCTCACAAAGCCAAGTCTAATGGAACGCGCACGTGTTGCTGCCGAAGTTATCCGCACTCCCATGGATATTCTATTCAACAAGAAAGGCTCCTCTCATGCCCTGAGGCTTTAGTTGCTGGACCCAAGGTCAATAGACTACATTAGTTTAGGCTAATCGGTGGATTCTAGGAGAGAAGATGGGCTACTCTCCCCCGTCACGGGCCTGCATATCTTTGACAAGGCCATGTCGGCTTTCTTCTGTGTGTGTATAATAGATATTAGACAGATTTGAGTGAATGGTTGGCGGGTTCATGGGAAAGGGCGAAACGGATGAGAATAGGAGATGGCGCCTTTGGGGACGGACATTTATTTTTAGTTTAACACCTTTTGTAGTCTGGGTGTCGAGAAATTCATATTGAAGTTTTTACTTTCTAAGGAACGGTTGACGACCCTGCTCCACTGAGCCCGCGACTTGATTCCTGGCGCTCCAACGGTTTTGTAGTACCTGTTATCGGGGAGAGTAGGATGTAGGCAAAGTGCCAATATTGAGTATCAAGTGAGGGAAGTTCAAAACGAGGTGGAAGGGCGTAGGTAGGTTCAACTCATTAGGTGATGGCAGCTGCGGTTCCGCTTTGTGAAGAGGAGTTAACATTGCCTAGTAAAGCTACTACAAAGCAGTCTTAGTTACTAAGGGCTTACATTCCAGCCTATATTACTTTTAAGACCAGCACTTTGAGTTGAGACTTAAATGGAGAGAAAACCCGAGAGCCTAAGAGGTCACTGATATGAGCGAGGATATTTCGCTGCGGGACTTAGGACCGTAATTCGTTGAAGGAATACTACCCATAAGACCCGATAAGGAAAGGCAATTGGTTCAATAAGCTATTAAGAAATTATTAAAGTGTATTGAACTCTTTTTATTTAATATGATACCTCGTATACGAGGGAAAAGAATTCTTGGTATTTGGGAATCCCCCCCCCCATTTTTCTTTCAGCAGCTGCCGCATAACTGCATAGCTCTCTCACTTACTATTGAATTTTCTTTCGCTAGTTGTTGCGCAGGGCTCTCGAAGAGAGATATGTTATGATAACTTTGGTCAATGGCGAAAGTCTGTAGAGGAGCAATGTAAACTCCGAAACCCAGGAAAAGGACACTTGGCAAGAGCGCATAGTCTCAGCATCTTGAGATCTACCCATCGTAATGCGAGAAAGTGGTTCATTGATTTTGGCGCCTCTGGATCGCGCCTAGCAATTCATCCAGGGCCATTTGATCCCCTTCTTCGGTAGACTTGTGCCGGTCAAGCATTGCTTGTTCACTTGGTTCCAAGTCACAGAAATCCATAACGCCTTTAAAATCTGTCGGGTCTCGCCATCCGCAACTTTCACAAAAAGTACTGTATCGAGACCCACACAAGACTGTGGTCTGCTGCGTCGGGTTGATGTCGGCTCGAACGTTGTTGCGTTCTTTAATATGTCTTGGCCTAGGGGAAAATTCGAAGTCGACGAGGTTGGGTAGGCTGGTACGAATTTTCTCAAATATGAACTCCCAAGTCCCTGGAAAGAAGAATATCTCTCCCCAGTCTCTGTCAAATGTACTCTCTGGAACGGGCTCCCAATCATGCATTTCCAGATTCCAAAGATCCAGTCCCTCATTTAGCCGCAGTATTGTAGCAATGGTGCAGTTTTCCAGTTGCAAGCTCTCTAATGTGGTCTGATTGAGAATCCAGTCAAAATGATTATAGTGTGAAATGTTGAAGTGTTTGAGTTTTAGGCTCTTGAGACGAGGGAATGCTAGACCACGGCCATTGAATGTGCCTGGTGCTGTCCCCCAAAATTCATCAATGCATAATGATAGCGATGTTAAGTTCGCCATTGGCATCAACAAACTGTCCTGCAACCATGGCTCAAAAGTCACCAGCTCAGATTCACGGATATCCCATTCTTCTCGAGATGGGTTGTGTTCCTGAACGATATGAAGGTCGAGTTCCTCAAGATCTTTAGTCACAGACTTGAAGAGACTTGAGGATGTGAATGTGGGGATGGGCGCATTTTGCATGTTTTCAACCACGAATGAGCGGATGCTCGTCTTTCCAGGCTGGTGCGATCGCGTCTGTATCGCATTGAACACAGCCTCGAAGACGTTGATTCGTTTTTGGTACGTTTCATGGCTTATCATATCATTCTGGATGGATTCCGGGCCAGAGCATACTGGAGAGAATTTCACTGTGATTTTCTCCATGTATTGGAGATCGTCAATTTTTTGCAAGGCAATGGTAAACCCCGCCGGGAGTTCGTCGCAATACCCTTCATCGCCGTCAGTGATATGGCTGTAGATGAAAATCTCGCGGACTGCGTCTTTAATTCGCTCATTTTCAAGTAAGGCACCCCACGCCTTGTATCCCTTTTCCGTCGGTCTTAATATTATTTTTCGAAACGCGTGTGGTACTGCTAAGATATTCCACCGCTGGCATACCGAACGTGCCGTGAGTACCGTAGAGGCTGGCTCCATGAGGCCGATGATGCGTCCGAGTAATTCGTTTGGGAGTTTTTGGGCGGTCATTGTGAGAAGTAGGCGAAAAGAAGTATCTCAGATACGATTTTATGTCGGTTAAGGAGTCTTTAGTTGATAATTTGGCAATCTCTGGCGCCAATTGTCTGGGTACGAAGATGAGTTTTTATGTTCAACCGCCGCATTTTGTGTAGTGGTAAGATGAACGGACTTTCAGCAAAATTGGCAGCGTGTCTGTTCATATACTCACTGTTGCAACGTGCCGTTATAAACAGGCTAGCCGGCCTAGTAATCAGTGAATAGGCGGTAAGCAAGCATGACAGAAGTCAATACAAAAGTGCTAGTTCTGGCAAACATTGCTCCATACTGGTGAAAATACAAATGCGGAAAGGGCCGAGAGGCAATCGTGAACACGCCTGCCCAGAGAGGTAAGTCACCCGACATTTTGACCTAGGCAATTATCCTGCTCGCAACTCTAGGCTTCCAATAATCGTTTCAGCGTACCCCAGAAAGATGCAGGAGAACAGCTACCTTGCGTATCAAAAGAAGAAACCAACCACATTAATGATTAGGCTCTGCTATATGCTATACCCTGTAGCCATATTCGAGTTCTTGGAAGACAGAAAGCCCACATAGCTAGCAATATCCTCGGGCGTTTATGCCTTCTTGATCGTAAGTCGCTCCGCAACTGCTTTGTTCTAGGCGAGCCGCCTTTAAAAGCACACCGAGCTTTGTGGAGAACTTTGCATTGATATCTTATCTCAATCTCTAATTCGATGACTGCTCTAAGAAAGCAAGCTAATTCTTGCGAAGAGGTGCGTGAACAAGCCTCCTGAATAGGCCTGGCAATTGAATCATGGTAGCCACTCAAAGGTCCTGGATTTCCTTGGGGGTAGAGAAGAGAGAATGCTGTACTGGTTAAAAAAAAATATAAGCATATCCGGGTATTATATTGCCTATACCTAAGGATAGATGGGCTCTTTTGAGATACTGGGCAATGAATATATTGGTAGTTTAAGAATACTCGAGGGGTGGATGTAAAGACTGGAAGAGTAGAAAACGCCTATATCTTCTCATCTTCATTAATGCATACATTCTAGTCTGATGTGAACACTCTCAGTTGGGTATATGGTTATTCGGTATAGTGTGTGCCGCGATGTTCAACATCGTGATTTTAAATGACCTGATGTTCGATCCGGATAGTCGATCGGGATCGGCAATGTCGGCGTGTATGCACTGGAAAATCTATGGCGCAATATGCATCGGGAATGAGCCATCCGTAGTGTAACGATAATCATAGGAACACACAAGCACTAGTGGATTCTTTATCCGTTGTATTCATAATCAGTATGGGTTAATCTTTGAATGTGGTACAGACTTATTCATCAACACTATACACGTGATGTCCCAGATGATGACATTTTGGCTGCATATGACGATGGTCTCAATCGTATACCCAGCTAAACCCCCCGTACAATCTCCTCATTTTCCACTTCATAAACCTGCCACCTTGGAACAGTTCAAACCACTTTGGCGACATCAATAAAACAAGATGGGAGGAGAGAAGAAGACACGGTCGGTGGCGGTCATAGGCGCCGGGGCATCAGGTAATGAATTGAAAGCACTAAACCCCTCCCAGCGCTGTTAATCCGTGGGCTGACCAGTATTCTTATATAGGCACTATCACGGCTGCGGCGCTTCAAGCTGAGAACTACTTCACACGCATCCGTGTATTTGAAAGAAGAGAATCTTCCGGCGGCACATGGTAAGCTTGCTAGATTTGTAAATCTTCATTATGCTTCATGCTGAGTACCAACGATTATCGGCTAGGATTTACGATGAGAGCACAAAGCCACATCTACCGGTGAAGCCAGGGGATCTACCTGCCCAGAGTGATCCCCCACTACAGATTCCCTCGGTCTTACCAGCTACAACGGCCCCAAACCACCAAAACAGATATCTAGAGACTCCTATTTATGCGGGATTGACGTGAGTTGCGGAAAATCCTAAATTGATGATGGCATATTTAACATGTTCGCTAGAACCAACGTTCCGGCTATAGCCATGTCATTTTCCGACGCGCCTTTCGCTTATGGACCATTCGTACCACATTATGTTCCTCAGCAATATCTATCCAATTATTTCTCGACTCACAAGTTGGATTCCCTTCTCGAACTGAATACCACACTCGAGGACCTAACAGAAGTCAAGTCAGAGTCTAGAGAGAAGGACAATGGGTGGAAATTGACCCTCCGGAAGCGTGACTTGGTCCAGAATGTGGACATTTGGCGGGAGGAATATTTTGATGCTGTGGTATTGGCAAATGGCCACTATACAGTACCATATGTGAGTGTCTTTCCACCTGTGAAGGGAAGAGCACAACTGCAGAAAGCTAACTAGCGAAATTTAGGTTCCTCACGTCAAGGGCCTGGATGAGTACATCAAGAAATTCCCTGGCCGTGTGATTCATTCCAAGTCATATCGCGTGCCCCATATTTGGAAGGGGAAGAAAGCAGTTGTCATCGGCAACTCGGCCTCAGGAAAAGACGTCTCGACTGAGTTGGTGAAATGGGTAAGCCTCCCGCTCTACCAGTCCAGGAGGTCTAAATCTAGATGGGACGGCGAAGAGCCACCCCCAGGGATTGAGTGGAAACCAATCATCAGCGAGTATCTATCGGATGGGGGCATTGTCTTCAGTGATGGCACTATCCTTCGGGACATCGATGTGGTCGTCTACGCCACAGGATATAAACCCTCTTTTCCGTTTTGGAATCTAGAGAAGAATGGCCGCCCGCTTTATGATTACGAGCAGGGCAAGCTCATCAACAGCTACTGGCACACTTGGTTCCATCATTTCCCCACGCTGGCAATTGTCGGCCTCCCTCGAGTTCTCACCTTCCGCAGCATGGAGTATCAGGCGATTGCTATTGCGCGACTTCTATCCGGCAGACAATGGAAGTCTCTTCCTCCCATCAAGGAGCAGACAAGGTGGGAAGTGGAAAGACTTGAGAAATCTAAAGCGAAAGGGACCAAATTCCATGACATTGTGTGGGATGAGGGGGAGACCCAAGAATATCTTGGTCTCTTCTTCCGTATTGCTGGCCTGGGTACACTTCTTGGAGAGGGGCGAGTGCCCCCAGTTCTCAGTAAGGAGACCATCTGGGCTATTGAGAATATTAGGAAATACCCAGAGCCAGGTAAGGACCAGAGCACAAGGGAAGGATTCGCTCGTGGCGAGGATGTACAATCTGAAGAACGAGGCTGGGTTGTCGCCCACCGCCCAAACAAGGGTGCCTTATGGTTCATTTAGAATACATTTATAGAAATGCAGACAGTAAGGCTGATAGTTGATGGTTAGCGGCAATTGATGAGTATTGTGTTGGGAGAAAAACGAACAACACCACGGCTGTTAGCGAACTTGAAATGTAGACTGCCAGCCGCACCGAAATCTAACAACCTTCTTACAACAGCTATGAAAAGGAGGTTTTGAGTTTTGTATGCATTCTCATTTGATCAAATAGTTCACGTTTACAGCTAGTAAATTGACCTATTGTAGCCGCCGTAATGTTACTGAAAGACGCATCTTTCATAAGAAGGGATTTTCAAAAGCGAAAATAATAATAGATGAAAAGCATGTCTTTTCCTACGGATGCTGAAAAATAGCTAATTTATCTAACCCGGCCAAATTGACAAGTGGGCCCCGACTCAGTATGTGCAATGAACCTGAAATTTGATCTGACCTAGAGTCCTCGTTTTGATTTCGGCCTGGCCTATTAACCGGTTGGCTGGTTTTCTTTAACCAGACCTTAGCTGTCCCATTCGTTTGGGGGTATTAGGTGGTCCACGGGGTTTTGAGGGTTTCCAATCTACAATGCCGAACTGAGGGATCTGGTCCCGACCGCTTTCCCATGTCGAACTATTAGTGACTAAACTGAAAGCTTTTGCATACCTTGTAAATCTCGTCGGGAATTCAACCCTTCTTGGCAGCTCTAACTAATCTCACGGGTGACTGATCCACTAATTCCTTCATGATGCCTTCCTTGATCATCTCCACAGCAAGTGTCTCAATATGTTGAGCTTCTCTACTGTTGGGGAATTGCTGAGAGACGTACATGGCGCTTTCAACCAGCGGCGACTAACAGTATTATATTAAACTTTGCAACTGCTACAGCCCTGACTCAGCTGTCTGCTTCAACGATGAACAATCGAAGCAGGCCGGACTTCCCAGTGATGGGTCGTAATACTTGATTCGGCTGCTGGGTTTAGGGGTAAGCAGCCGGTATTGCTTGCTATGTAACCAGCCCCGAATTAGTTGCCAGGACAGCTACTTAGGTTTGAGCAATTTGGGTGCTTACTCCAATCTGAATGCCACTCTCAAAATAGGTAAAGCAATCCAGTTGGCTGAAAAGCAAAGTGGATAGGCTGTCCTAATCAAAGGAATGAACACAAACAATAAGCTCTATATGCCTAGCAGAGGGGGATGAGGCGAAGGTCACCCAACGTGAATAACTACCTAAGGAGGGCATGGAGGACGCAACGCATTCGCTTGGATCACAAGCTGGCATCAGGGAGAAAGGCTTTCTAGACCATCTCTCCACCAAGAAAGGTAGACTCGAGACACGGCATCTACTTGGAATACATGCAACACTAGTCAAAAGGAAGAAAAAAGTTGCAGGTGCTAATTTCGTTGAAGTTCGAAGACCCTCTTTGACCCCTGCCTGGAGACTTCGCCCCATGTTAGTGCCCGCGCCTTGTCTGTTGTCTTTCAATCTTCCTTATTTGGGCAGTTTCTTGCGGCAACGATTGGCCTCCCAGTGCTTGCAAGCCCTCGATGACCGCGGGGCTGATTTGTCCCACCTGTGTGTCGTCATGGAGGCTGCTCGTTTTCTCCTTTTAGGCTATGTTTAGCGGTCTACCAAGTATCTGTACTTTCTCCTAGCTCAACGCTCAATTCTCATAGGTCAACAATCAAGAATGCTTCTAAGCCTTAGCGGGGCTCATCCATAGTGCCACGGGAGATCTGTACAAGAAGCTGTAGTCATGCCATGGCCAACACAAGTATAAAGACAACTTGTCCATCCCCTTCATCAAGAAAGCTGTTTCTCATCGAAACATTGCAATTCATTTCCTAACGTATTTCATATCCCGCTTCTCCTTTTTTTTTCGTCCAAACATGTATTTCAATATAGCACTTGCTTTGGCCTTTGTTGTTAGCGTGTCCGCCTTCATCATCGGCACAGAGCGTGCCCCATTAATCGGTCCCTCCTTCGCAACCAACTTTGACCATTTTACCTCGAAATCCCTCGAAGATGCCAAAACCGAGTTTTCCAGTCGTCTTGAGCAGCTTTTCTCCACTGGGAAGCTGAATCAAACTGACCTTGTGTTTGCTGTGGATGTTTTCTCTGCCAACACCAATAGTTCTATTTATAGCAAGTTTCATGTTGGAGAAGGGCAAGAGAAGATATTGACAGCAGGCGAGCTTAACTCTGATACAATTGGCCGATTAGGCAGCGTCTCGAAGCTCGTGACAGCCTATGGGCTTATTGCTGAGGCTGGAATTGAAGTCTTCAGCCACCCTGTCACAAGATACTTCCCGGAACTTCGCAGTAACTCTACTGTTCCAAACCGAATCAAGTGGGAGGAAATCACAGTCGGCGCCCTTGCCTCTCATCAAGCCGGTACTGGTGGCGTAGGGGGTATGTTAATATTCTGAACACGTATCCATGATACTTGCCCTGTTTATACTAACACCTCGACTACAGACTATTTCCGCAAAGTCCAAAGCGGTACCGAAATGACCGTTGATTGTAAGTCAATACGCACCCATCAAACAAAGATGAAGTGTTAATTATTGTCCTCAAGCCTATGTTGCCTTCGTTCGAGATGAGAAGCGCCCGACCATGGCAGCCTACCGGAATGCCCTCTATTCAGACGCAGGATACTCTCTAATTGGCCATGTATTAGGACGAATTACCGGGCAGAGTTATCAAGAAGCTATACAAAAGGTTCTCTTTGATCGCCTCGGACTGAATAGTTCCACAGCATTTCCACCAGCTGCTGGTCCTAACGTAAATGCCATGAATCGCACCCTCGTCGCCAATACATCAAGCTTCAATATCGACAGCCCAATCACTGCATCGTATGTGTTCCCATTAGAAGACAGTTTTCATCTGAATTTCATCCACTAACTCCACTCAAGGTCCGGAGGAGTATTTGGCTCCATTTCTGATCTTCGGAAAATCGGTCTCTCGATCTTAAACTCCGAAGTCCTCTCTTCTGCCACTACGCGAGCCTGGATGAAGCCCCTGAGTGCTACGGGCAGTCTGGTTGACCTTGTTGGCGCCCCCTGGGAGATCAATCGCCTTACTATCCCAGCTACGCCTGGCTCGAATTATACTCGGGTGTCCGATCTCTACACCAAGGCTGGCGGCAATGGCGACTATACCTGTATCCTCGCCCTCTCGCCTGATCATGGGATTGGCTACACCTTTCTTATCGCCGGCAGCACGGCTAGCACTGCGCGCTGGCCTCTGCGTCAGACTCTTGGTGAGGTTTTCATCCCAGCTGCGGAGCGAGCGGCGGCCGAGAACGCAGAGAAGAACTATGCTGGAACATTTGTCGATACGAGTTCTGGAAACTCAACCACAAACTTGACCATCACCTTTGACAAGAATGAGCCCGGCTTGGGTCTTAAGAGCTTCTACTTTCAAGGAGCTGAATCCCGCTATCTCCTTGTAGGCGCCACCAAGCCTATTGCTGGCTCATACCGCGTGTACCCCACCGGACCGAGCGAGACTTCTCAGTCGCTGGCGGAGTTGTATAGGAGCGAGGGGACCATCCGCGTGTCGCAGCGTATCGTCTACTACGCCTCTCCACTGGAACCCCGTGCGGCAGCATTGGGTGGCGAGGGACTATTTGAGAACCAGTTTGAATGGTATAACATTGGCTTCCAGGGAGCCACGGATGAGCTTGTTTTCGAAATAACCGATGGAAAGCTCGTCAGCGTCACTGTTGTGGGCGCAGAACTGCTCACCGGTAAGCCATTGGTTTTACACCGGCTGCAGTGAAGTAGCAAAAGGGGCGTGGTAGGGTAACGGATGTATTTATACAAGTTGCCTGCGAAACAAACCGGTAATTTCGTTCTTATTTTCTTTCGCTGTACATTAATTAGACCTAAAATCACGTTTGAAATTGGCTCATTTGAGCCTCTTGCAAATGAGTACCAGATACAGACAGAAGCTTTCGCTGTAGTCTCAGACGATTAGCTGATCCTAAATATAAAACAGCTTTTCCTGGGACTTGCCTTTTATAAACTCAGAGTTTCCGTACTGTTTCTTCAATGATTCGCGCGGTCTTTCTCTTAAAATCATCGTTCCCATGTTCGGGATATTTGAACAATCTCCAAGTATAATTGTAAACTGGAGTTTGATGCTATAATACAAGCGTAAACAAGGCATCGAGATAGCCAATGAGTTGGGTTCAATGAAAATGTAAATATCATAGTGTGAGGACAAAGAGATTGAGCTCATGGTAATGCCCTACAGGTGCGCTTTGGCTTGTGTCTCGCACCAATTCCAGAATACTTCCGCGACGGATCTGTCCCCTTCCAATCCTCCTACGTAGGCCGTCTCTATGTCGCTTCTTGGTCGAGAAAGTCGACCCCATGGCTTAATGTACGAACCAGTATGTTCCGGGGTGATATCGCTCGACCAGCCGGCGTATAACTCTGTATGAGCACCATGAATGGCATCATGCCCGAGAATCCACTGCGAAATCCATTCGTAAGTTGGGAAGCGTGCCTGCCAGCCTGTATGCTACTCACCGTGATGAACCTCTCGACTGGATGAAAATGACGAAGAAGGTCCGTTCTCAAGTTTCCAGGATTCCATGCCTACAGTGGCCAAGATTGGTCACTATACTTTCTGAATCTTGGGTCGGGCTATACGTACCACACTGACAATCCCATCAGATTTGTATCTTCGCGCAAATTCGGATGAGATAAGGACGTTGCCAGCCTTGGATTGACCATAATCAACCGTTCGTTTATCATGCACCTTGGGTGAACCATCGCTCCCCAACTCGACGCCAAATTTAGGAGCGGTCAAATCGGTGAACACAGATGACGCCCATGTCACCCTGACGGTGCCTTCGGGCTCAACGGCTGCCGTTGCTTGCAGGAGAGGAAGCAGCTGCATTGTAAACATAAGTGGTCCTATACAGTTTGTCCCCATCTGCAACTCGTGACCCTATATCAAGGTTAGCGAATGAAGGAGAAGGCAAAACAGAACAGAATAGTGGAAGAAACCTGTTTTGTCTTGGAGCCAATCGGAGGCCTCATGACTCCAGCATTATTCGTCAAGACGTGCAACCGATTCTCCTTTGACTTGAAAAGATCCGCGGATACCTTGATACTACTCAAGTCGGCCAGGTCTAAAGGAAGGAATTCCAAGTGGCCGACTGAAGAGGGACAATCGGCCCGCAGCGCGAGGACCGCTTTCGCTCCCTTTTCTGGGTCTCGTCCCGCAATATAGACCGTTCCATTTTTGCGATAGAGGATCTTCGAGAGCTCAAACCCTACGCCGCTATACCCGCCGGTGACAATGAAGACCTGCAACTCAATTAGCATTCGCATGTAGACTCCTGCGTGATTGATCGCGCTACCTTTCTGCTCTGGTCAGGCAGATTGGCCTCGGTCAGCGTGGCTTTCGGAATTCGGATAGACTGGTCAACCGCGGATGCGAACGCAGCGAAATTCATGATGACTTCGTCAAGCCCCTTTTTAGTCGTGTTTCTGGCTGCTTGGAATGAAAGCCTATCTCGTCGCGAGATATGACCCGGCTGAGAGAGGGAACGGGTTTCAAAGGGAAAAACCGATCCCTCCCTCACCGATGAGTAATGTTTCATCGGGGTAAGAGCACCCACCTCGGCATCGCGCCGATCGCTTAATAATTTAAGCCAGGGTGGTAGGGTAGTTATATTATGACGTGCCCTGTTTTCAGCTCACTGGGTCAAGCTGAAGGTAAAATAGCTGGGCGATATCGTGGTGGCTGCTGATTTGAAAGCCTGTGAAATATTGTGGGGAAAAGCAGCTGCGTCAAGTTGACTCGATTTCGAGTATTCATATGTTCATGTTGAAGTATTCTCAAGAGTTAAATGGAGTCGAGCTTTGGTAACCGATAATATTCTACCCAGCTCAGGATATTGTCTACCGTGATCATACCGCCTTTCCCCACCAAACTACTAGCTAAACAGCTGCCAGATCTGTCCTATTATCCATATCTCATGGAAGGTAGACAAAAGGAAGATGCGAATCAGGCCAATGGTACGGACTTGGAAGCTGGCGACTATTATCTAGTTCTTGATTACAGCCGGTCGCTTGCTCCTCATCGCTAGGCCCGCGAGAAGAACAAAGCCAGTTGATGCAAGCGCTGTCCCTCCCGAGTAGAATATCGCAGGTCTGAACGGAACGATAGAGGTTGCATTTTCTGCACCCATGGCGTCCATGAGAGCACCTGCTATCGGGCTACCCACCAAAAGCCCAGGAAACCACCCAGTGAGCGCAATGCTGATAGCGCCGCCTCCCTTTAGATAATCTTCGGGCCAGAGCCTGCCAACGGCCGTGGGCATTGTGACGAAGAAGGCGCCGTTGGCGATGCCATTTACAACAGCGAAGACAACCAGGACGGCCAAAGTGTTAGAGACGGACCACACAGCGAAGAATGTGACAGCGTTGAGTGCCATGGTCAAGAAGAACATGTTCATGGTGCCCAGTTTATCGCAGGCCACGCCGGATATGATACGGCCCACGGCCATGCAAGCATTGAAACAGTCGACGACACCCGTGGTAGCGGCGTTACTTAGTCCAATTGCATCAGCGACATAAGGGAGGAAGAACGGAGGCGTGTAGATGGCAAAGACCCCAAGAGCCCCCGAGATGAAGGAAAAGGTAAACGGCAATTGCTTGAAGATAGTCCAGTCCAGGGCGTAGCTTCGGCTTGCGGTGGGTCGCTCCTTGATCAGAAAAACAACGGGAATGCCCGAGGCCAACGAAGCCAGGCCGAGAATGCGAAATGTCCAAGCGATGCCAACCTTCTCCGTCAGAAACCCCGTGGCAATGCTCATGACGGTGGCGCCGATGCCACCGCCAAGTTTGATAATACCGTTGGCAGTTCCGAGCTTGGTAGTAAACCACTGCACTGGAAGTGTGTTGCACATGGCGTACATGAGGCCGGCACTGATTCCATACATCACTCCACTGGTGAAGAAGAGAGCACCGACATTGGAAACCGCCTGGGCGCTCGCTATGCAGCCTAACCCATAGCATAGTATCCCCAAGAGGCTGGTGTATCGAGCGCCAATGGTGCGAGCAAGCCATACGCAAGGGGTACCAAGCCCAGGACCCATCGCGATTCCAAGAGCCCCTACGAAAGACACTGTGCTCGAGGTTGAGTGTTGTAGCGTTTGCCTGAGTAGAGCAGCCTGGAGGATACCCCAACAGCCGGTCCATGCATTGATCCAAAAAGTGTGTACGAAGCAAGCAAATACAACGGCCCATCCATACCCACCATCTGGGACCTGATCTGGGTCTTGTGGAGGGCTCGTGTTCGGCGTCTCGTGGAGCTCTATTGGTTGGTTTTCGTGCTGTTGAGCATTCTCAGCCCCAGCTGTCTCCGTCGATGCCATCTTGACCGTTGCAACAAAAGAAGTCTCAGCTTCAAGATGAGGCTACTTTGAACAAACAAGAGGAAATTATATTGTATGGTTGAACGGAAGGTTGATCCTGAATAGCCGTATCTTGCGGTCAAGCCAAACAAGAGGGCTACGGAGCGGGGAATGAAGTGTTTTGAAATCAAGGACAACACGGCACAGTACGTCGGATCGCTTAGTAGCCAATTTAGGCTATGTACGGCTCGCAATCGGATTGTGTCCCGGTGCGCTGACTGGGTTCCGTCCTTCGTGCGGCGCAAGAATGACCATTTGCGTCCAACTTTAAGTACATCGCAGTTCGCAACTAGCTCATGTAGGCATCTCTAAACAGCCAGCTTGCGTAACCTCACAGGGAGGGGAGAACCAAAGTTCCGTCATGGGGTGACATCCTAGCAGTTGGCATCCTTGGCAGCAGACGCCAATAACCTGGGCCAAGCCTGTCAGCTCATATTGGTTGGCTTGACCGACTATCATGGTGAGGAATAGCCCACCGAGTTCTTGGCTTTTGCGACTTATCTTCCCCAATTGAAAATCTACGTTGTCCCCCGCCCAACTCTGTACCTCCATACTAACATATTACACTGGCAGCATCCACGAGGGCAACAAAGGGTCTTGAGCCAATTCGGCGCCGGTGGTCGTTGAAGACAGCAGTTTTTTGATTGGGGCCAACATGTTATGAATCGTGGACATTCCTCAAGGTTTTGAGGGAAGAGCCTGAACGTTCAAGTTGAGACAGAACGCTTTTGATGGCTGGAGCGAGAGCGACTTCTATGATCGGAGAAGGCCATGCGACTTGTCATTCATCAAGTAATGTCAGATTGTGGAAGAAATCGGCAAGGGTTAAGTGCAGTTGTGTACAATATTTGCGCTAAGAAGCCAGTGGCCATTTATATCGAGTCCATGTAATCACGTTACTGATACAAGCTCACATGGTTCCATGTCTCGGCGCTTACCGCCATTTATTTTCTCTCCATGTATGCAATTTCGACTTTTCAAAATTCGAATTTCCGAGAGGGCCACGCTTGTTATCAGAAGTCAACATGTTGTTGTAAACGTCCGGTTCCCAACCTCCAACTAGTGGAAGAGAAAGTTCAGTGCAATAAGGGCATACACTAGATGAACTTTGTAGGCAGAACTCCCTTAGATGTGTCATGCTTCAGTCTCGAGCGTAGAGAACTTCTTCAGTTCCTCCTCGGTCCAGTTCCATAGCCTCTTCATCAAATCCTCGTCTGTCGCTTCAGGCCGCCTTCTCCCTGGCAAGCCTAATGGGTCGTAGTATTCTCCGTTGATCAACTCTTTTACCGTCGTTGCGGCCCAGACTTGATGTTTCGCTACAGTTTCCACTGGCTGATAGAGAAGGAAACGATTGAGAGTCGCATTCAAGATTCTTTCCACCAGCCCTATGCCTGTTACGCCCGCCTGCAAGTCAGTGTCGGCTGCTCCCGGGTGAACCGCGACGAAAGTGACCTTGGGATGCTCCTTGGCAAGCTTGCGAGCGAGGAGAATAATGGCTAATTTACTTTGTGCATATCTTTGGAGGGTGGGTATTTGTTCTGCTGTAGTTTTCATGTACTGAAATTGAATCCCCCCTTCGGGCGCGTTCCAGTGGCTGTATGAGCTGAGGATGACCACACGCACTGCGTGGCCCTCACTGGCGGTCACTTTGAGGATCGGGAGTAAAAGCTTCGTTAATAGGGCATGCCCCAAGTAGTTGATACCGAACTGTATTTCGTAGCCGTCCTCAGTTAGGCCGGGTGCAATCCCCATCACCCCCGCATTCAGCATGAGGATGTCAAGGCGGTTGATTTGGCTTAGAAGAAGTTGCGCAGCGCTTCTTATAGATTTGAAGGAGCCAAGGTCAAGGGTTAAGGGCTTAATGGTCGTGTCGGGAGCGTGCTCACGGATGTCTTTGCAGGTTTCCTCTGCTTCACTGTTTGTCCTTGAAGTAAACCAGATTTCAGAAGGATTCTTCTGAGCCAAGTAAATGAGAGATTGCTTCCCGAGCCCAGAACTACCGCCGGTAACTAGTATAACCTTTCTAGCAAGGGAAGGGATGTCATTTTCCGGATCAAACTCGACGGAATTGCTTCCAGTTATTGAACCTAATCCAAACATGGTGGTATATTTTAAAATGCAGAATCCAACGTATGATTTCGAGGATTTCAATGTCGTTACCAGAGTATGAAGCTTAGGGCCATTATTTATTTGGCAGCGCACACGCTTGGGTCCAGTTTAAACCACGCAATGTTCGTTGCCTATAAGTTGACGTAAGATTGGGTGCCTTGCCAGTTAGTCTACGGTTCTTCACTTTAATTGATTCCGGGGGATCTTTTTGACTCTCTAAGATTACCCGCAGCCAAATGCTAGAGAAGGTACAGTAATAGGATATATTTTGACTCATCTTCTAATATCTTAAGTTGGAGGTCTGGGGGTTTTATATGTCTTCGTGGCTAGCTAGTAGAGAATTCGGCTATTTAAAGAAATAATTATATTAAAGGCATCTACTTGAAAATGCCTCTATCTAAAGAGTCCACCCCTTGTGAGGCGAATATAGAATGGAAAGTTTTGTTCTGGGCTTTATATCGGTTTACCATTCCACCATTCCATGTTAGTACGGTAGCTCCGTCTTGTAATATCAATGAGATTGTCGGCCTCCGATCCCGAAAACCCACCGAACATCACGTGTCTTAGTACCCTTCCGGAATCTCATTCCGCAGTTGAGAGACTTGAAACTCTACTCTTCCAATAACCCCAAGACACCGTGTTGGAGCGCGTAGCAGTGATGGAGAATGAAGGCAGCACCCAGTCACCACAATCTAATTCTATTCGATATAGAAAGAAGACCCTGAATGCGTGAGTCTTGGAATGCAAGGCCCGATAACCTAATTCTACCACGACATGGAATTCAGCTCGTTCTGATGCAAGGGTTTTAGGTGTATCGGCTGCCGGAATCGAAAGACAAGATGCTCCGGTAGAAACCCATGCGAAAGATGCATTGCTCGAAAAGAATCCTGTATCTTTGAGGAAAAAGAAAAAAAGGCGGCTGTACCTGTAGAGTAAGGTTACCTACCCATGACTTCCTAAGTCAATGCACAGTTGAAGCAACCTCTAGCTCACAATCAGCGAAGTTATATTGATGGGTTGCTTGACCGAATAAAATATCTTGAGTCCCAATTAGAGACTTCTCACGACCAGACTGCACCTGGTCCTGGCTCAAGTCATGATGGAGACCAACAGGCGTCAGGAAGGTCTACTGATAATGACGGCACCTCACGGGTCGATTTGGTTAGTCACCTGTCAATGTATAATACCGGCCTTTGAAGGTCGACAAACCTCAAACACCCGTGGCGAAGACACCGATCAGCTTCAAGCAGCCACTCCGGACAAAACAGCTACCGATGTCGAAAAATATGGTTTGCAATTGGGCCCCCGTTTTAGAGAGCCATTTTATCTACTCGGGTCGGAAGGAAATTTCATGTGGAAAATAACCGCCCATCATCTGTTGGAGATTGCATCTATTGGGAGGAAAGTGAGCGAAAACTGGGATAACAGATATGTGTTTATAAATTTTCTTTATATTTCCTGTGCCATTGCTTTTGATCTCACATATGAAGAGTGTCTAAAAGGATTGTCTATAAATGTTTTACATTATATACTGTCTCAATGGTATCTGCTGGGGGTGATGGGGGATCAAAACATGCACCACGTGTGGACTCTAAGCGCGGAAACCTTAATTTTTTCTTCTTTTTTTCCTTTTTATTTCCCCCCTTTCTTGTATATTAGGTGGATTACAATTGGTCCCAAACAGAGAAAATGCATACATTCTGGATACTACATACTACATCGATACTGGTGCACGCGTAAGCGAAACCCACCCCTCAGAAGCTATTGAGCGCCGCGTGCCTGCAGAGTCGTGTGATGCCCAGTCATTAGATGGTTCAATTCGAGGTGCCTCGCTTCTTTCGATGTTTGTCAAGCCTTCGATAGGAGCTCGGAGGGGTTACGAGGGAGATGAGGTAATTTTCACCCGTGTGTGTCACAGCGTGAATAAGTACATCCTCGCCAAACGGCCAATCTGCCTTGGGTTCCAGGTCATTGTTGATCTCGAACTGGGCATAGTCGACCTTGGGGTCCGAAGATTCATCCAGTAGGCACCACTTTGCAGCTTCGAGAGCGTCGTTTCTCTTGAGGTAGGCCCCCTGGATTTCGGAGGAAATAGCACGGTCGGCAGTGTACTTAATCTGAGTCTGGACGATGAAATGGAGGTGGTCGGTACCTCGGGGGAGACGGAGCGACCCGTCTGGTAATGCTGGCAGGTCCTCGATGTTCAACTTTGTGTCAATTCTGACGAGGAACTCTTGACCAGTCGGGGCCTTGGCATAGACGATGGTTCCGTTGCCGTGCTCCCACTCCTCGACGCCGTGTGGTCGTGTCTGATAGAGAGCAAAGTCTGCCTCCTCATAGCCGAGCGTTGCAAGGGCTTTGAAGGCGCATTTCTTGGCAGCCTCCAGTGTGCCGTGGCTGCCTAGGACATAAAGTCGAGGAATGTCCTCCAGGGTTTGGACATCATGCTCATCAACAGTTAAACAAGTGTGGTAGAGGAACTCGGGGATGAAAGTATCATCAATAGTGTTTGCAGGTGCCATGGTGTCGCAATTGGCTGTCGGATTAAAATAACGTATCAGTGACAAATGATTTTGATTGTTAGCATCAACTTGATTGTTAGCATTAACAAGTTAATTGACAGCCCGGAGGACCTTCTCTTATGGCCTTCGAACCCCTCTTGTCTACACGTGAGACAGGCGTGGTGCCAGACACAATACACGCCACCCATTTTCACGTTCCCACAATGAACGGAGATTTTTCACGAACGTGATCATGATCAGCACCAAGGGGCGGTGGGTCATGAGATGATTGTGATGAACCGATGATCCGGGGCTAGTGAAAGGCGAGTATAGCGGATCTCGACCCACCCTGCGTCGGATGTGATCGTTTGGATGACACGATAACATCTTCATGCAAGGGAGGAAGACCAGTGATGCGGGAGGGCACCCATGGCGACGCGTCATCCTCTAAAAGCAAGCCAAAAGTTGTTCGGAAACATGGAGTGTGATCGAGGGCAACTCTAGGCCGACGCCTCTGACGATAAGCCTGCATCACCCTTTCGTGTCCTCCTTTGGCCGGCCCCGCCCGGGAGCATCGCTGGGGCCCAGGCCCAGCCCCGTCCCAGCCAGTCTGAATATATCTAGTACCATCAATAGATTTAGGCTCGCCCACTCAGGATATAGCGCGGTTAACCACATTGGTCTGGAGCCGACAGCTGATGGCAGCACACGGCTCAGACGAGGTTACAGAGTTTCCAATGGTGTCAGATCTCGAGTTTGCCATATTGAATTTCTATCCACGTCCAATTGCGTGAAAATCAATTCCCATCAAGAATCCCATCGCTGTATCAACGTAGACTACTGGACGCCCCCGGAACGCTCTCGAACATAATGTACATTTCCTTGCACCCCTCCAGTTTTCAAGATTGGTCTCGCTCTTGGTATGGACATGAACATCACCTGACGTACACTTTTTTGATGGACAGATGATTTGGATCAGCTATAGCCTGGGTTGTGACACACCATTATATTTACCAGTCCAGCTTATCCCCTGCGGATATTATGCGATTAATTTATCCACTGGCGAGTTCGATCGCAATGAATCGAAATCCTACAGTTAAGAGTAGCTTCTCCTTTGACTGAACTTTATCCCTATCCAATCTTTCTACCTGTAGGAGTATTAGTTATGAAGTTATCGTGGTTTAAAAAACAACATACAGATCGGCAGAAGACCCAGCCGCAGCGCCCGCCAACCCCTTTAACGACTATGGTCTGATCAGACCAAATAACACACCGCCACCACAAGAGAGGCTTCCATATATAAAGTCTTACAAATACAAGCCTTTTTACAGCTACTTACAGCGTTAACTTGGGCCGCTGTAATACATTGAAATATTGGATACCCTCCTTGCGAAGGAAGTATATTAGAGTAATAATTAAGCAGCCCAGACCGGCCTAAGAACAAAGGTCTACATTCTTAATAAAGGGATCTTGGCTAATTAACCGGAATATATATCTTTTAGCCCTTTCATCAAGGAGAGGTAGCCGTCCTAAACGCGGGTTGCTTTTGACACTCTTCTAGTGCTTATAGCGCTAGGTAATTCCGTATACAGCGCGCGGCGTAAGGTCAAATTTGGCCGCAATAGCCTTCACTAAGACGCCGGAAAGGAATTAATATACAACCTTTGTACGCTTATAAGGCAAATGATGTGGTTTTCGCGAAATTCGGGGCATAATTGAAAGAGTTATAAGGGTTGCAAGTTGGAAGGTTGCAAAGCGCGTACCGCGTTGTTACACGGATGAACTAGTTAAACTGTTTAGATTGTGGCTATTGTATTCAACTAATAAAAAGTGATGGCATTGGAAATGGACTCAAGCCGACTAGGGAAGGACGGTTCCTGAAAACCCCCTCATCTTAAATATAGCAGCACCAGGGTGTTGACATATCTCGCATCAACACTCTACTGTGTTGAGTCTTGACTCCTCACGCTCCTCAGGGATGTACGGTAAGGTGCAGAGGGGGCAAAAGTAATGTTTGCGCAGGTACCACGGGATAATACAGCTCGAATGGAACACATGGCCGCAACGCAACTGGCGAACGCGTTGCTCGGCCTTCAAAGGATCTAAACAAATAGCACTTTTGAGAATATTAGCAAAGTCAATCTCACACAATCAGCCCAGGCCCTTGTACCTACCATGCGTAGTATGACCCGGGCCAGACAGGTTGATCTCCCGGTTTACGTTGCCTAGCTTCTTCCTTGACCTGGGCAAAGTCCTTTGCTGGAGCTTCCCGGTCTAATGTTTCGAGGGACGGTTTTAAGTCAGCCGATGCCACGCCCGCCATTGACTCAACGTCGACGGATTCGACGCAATCGGTCGGACACCGTGTAATAGCGCTATAAATCTTGGATGTCAGTGCTTTTGTTTGCCAAGGGAGCCCTTGCCTCTGAGATGAGATGAGATGAGATTACCAGAGAAAGCAAACCAGGAGCAGCAACACAATAACGCCCGCGATGATGAAGATGGGCAAGAGTCCAGTTGACGAGCCATTATTGCCCTCTTGATCTCCAGAATTTGCAGATGAGTTTGCGGCTGGAAGACTGTTGGGGTTCAAGCCCATGGTTCGTGGTGATATCATAGTAGTCGGCTGAAGAAATAATGAGTAAGGAATAAGCAATTGCGAACTCAAAAATACTCTATTCATTACAATTGCTAAGTATTGTGTGGTTTGACAAGGGCTGTATAGTAAAGCAAAGCAAAAAGCAGTAAATTGAACGTGATGATGATTATAATTAAAAGCTAGCTGTTGGAAGGTTCCAATCGAAGGTTGGATAGGTATATGATTAGTTGGATCTACCCGACCAATTGATAAGATTAACTATTAATAATCCGATAAGAATATCTATACAGGTAACTTTTTATTTTTCCTTTTAATCAAGAGGAAATACTAGAATATAGGTAATAAGATATCCTTCTAAAAGCAGAAGTCTGTATAATAATAAATTAAATATATATAAATATATAAATCCGTTAAGTATAAAGCCTGTTTGATAAGAACCTGTTAAAGTCTTATAACTATTTATTAAATCTATTAGTTATATTAATTATATATAACCTATCCTTCCTTATATATAATAACCGAATTATTATTAATAAACTATTCTAATAAATAATTAGGGATAGATTTAGTAAAATAGTTAGTAAGATTATCTTTACTATTAATCTATTATATTTTTATTAATTTATAATATTTATATAATTAGTATAAAGTTATTATATTAATTATAAGTTACTTTTCTTTTATTATACTAAGTTTAACTAGATATTTATATAATAAATATAAATCTATATATATAATAGTTAGAATATAGTTAATTAATAAATAGTTAGTAACTATTTAAAGGGTAATTAAAATTATATATATAATATTAATACTAGTAACTATACTATAAACTTCTAATATAAGGATAGAATAAGTAATATATTTATATTTAGTTAAACTGTAATAGATAATATTACCTATTAGTTAGAATAAGTTATTATTCTTATTATATTTATATTTATTTACTAAGATAATAATAAAACTAAGTTATAATATTAGATCTTAGTTATTAGTAAATAATCTATTAATAAATATAAAGAGTTTAGCTATTTTTAGATCTAAGGAAATATAATAGTTAGATGACTTACACTGGACGGGGTCTAGGGTAGGTCGGGGTTAAACTAATCAGAGTATTATTCTGAGTAGTACGATCAGGTTATTTTAGGCTGTATAATATAAGTTACTATTAATATATAAGTATTATAAAGCTAATAATAATAGATATATAGATAATAGTATTAATAACTATCTAAAAGGGTATTCTAGCTAATAAAATAAATATATATATATAATGGTTATAGAGCGTAAGGAGTATACTGCTCCTGGTAATCTATCTTTATCCTGCAATAGGAGTATAATACTCCTATTACTCCTGTTCTTTAGATAGTAGGGTATATATAACTATATAACCTATTATAGAGGCCTTTGTTTATAATATAATACCCCCTCTCTGTTAGTCTTATCCTTAAGATCCTATATAATCTTAGTAAGTTCTTCCCCCCTTCTATATATAATAGTTATACTGTAATATTTATTATATCTAACTGTATTCAAAAGCTAGTATATTCTAAGACTTATAAGTAAGTCCTTCTTACTACTGCTATTTAAATATTCAGTCTTCCAGCCGATATACTATATACTCCGTATTTTAAGGTGAAAAAAGAGTATTTTATTCTTCTGGATAGAAAGTTATCCCGATATAATAAGTATATATAAAATAGTTATTATTATAATAGAGTACTAGTTATATCTAACCGTATATATTCCCCTGTACTCCTGTTTATACCTTTCTGATTCCTATTCTAGTAGAAAAATTAATAATATAGTAGAAAAAACTAGCTGAAGAAGAGTCTAATATAGATAAGAAGATCCTTCTTTTATATTAATAAATAACTTAACTCTAAAGTAATCTATCTGCTGCCTTAGGGTATATTCAGTATATTTATAAGGTATATAGCTGTATTAAGAGCAAGGTACAGCAGGAGATTCAGTATAGCCTCTAAGAGCTTAATAAAGAAGAGTAATTATCTTTAAGTCAGGCTCTTAACTTTCTTAAGGCTTCCGAGCAATATACCTTAGAGGAGGTTCAGTTTTCAGGGGTTACCCCTGAGATAGATTTAAATTTATTAGGTTTTAAGGAGGATTTTTCTAATTTAGCTCCTCTTTTTCTTTCTAGCGGAACTAGTAAATTAAGTATTAGTACTTCTTCAGATACTTAACTAGTTCCTATATATTATTATTATCAGTATACCCCTTCTATTTAACCAGATAGAATATTTATCTATTTCTAACTTCTTTCTTTAGGATTTTTTCTAGCTTAAATTCTTCTTTATAGATCTTAATTAGATAATCCTGATCTGATATATTTTTTAGTACTTTTTTAAGTAATAAGATATAGAAAACTAGGTAGATATATATTATATCCAGTAATAAGAGTTTATAGTTAGTATCTGATTTTTTCTTATAGATCTTAAATAATCTAAGTTTTTTATAGTTTAATTTATTACTTAGTCTTATTATTATAATATTTTTATAGAGTAGGTAGACCTTATCTCCCTCCTTTAAGATTAGTTCTTCTAATCTGTTTTTATTATAATATTTTTTTATTCTTTATTAGATAAATTCGAGTTCTGTTTTTATTTTAGTATATAATAAGTATAGTATTTCTTTTATAAGTATAGCAGTAGGTATATTTAGTCTATTAAGTTCTGATTAACTCTGGAATTATAGTTTATAACTGTAATTTATATATATAGGTATAAGTTAGATAGATTCTTATACTAAACTATTATATATAATTTATACTATCAGTAATAGTTATACCTAATTATTTTATTTATAGTTAATATATACTTATAGATATTATTCCAGTATTTAATTTAATTATTTAGTTTAACTATTACTTTACAGGTAGTAGGCTATTAATAGCTTATACTTAGTACCTATTTATACTATAAGTAATTACTAAAACTTAGAGGTAAATATTATTCCTCTATCTGATATAATCTTATTAGATAGTCTGTAGTAGCTAACTATATATTATAGAAACTAATATATAAGGTCTTCTATAGAGCTTACTTTCTTATATAGAATAAAGTATCTATACTTTATAAGTCTATTAATAACTATCAGAATATTATTATATTCTACTCTAGTTATTAATTCTTTAGATAGTAATAGTTTAATAATATAATTAAAAGATACTAATTACTATAGTTATTCTGGTACTAAGACTGGTTTAAGTTCTCTATAGGGTTTATATTATATAGACTTAATTCTTATATAAGTATTATATTCTAAAACTATAGTCTGTATATCCTTTTATAGATCTAGATAATTATAATATTATTTAATTCTATTAAATATTTTCTTAACTCCTTAGTATTCTAAGAGTAGGTACTTATAGATTTCTCTGATAAGTACTATTCTTACTTCCTATTATAGCTTATCTAAGCTAGGAATAGTTTCTATCTGGATTTTAGTATATACTATTTCCTTAAGTATAGCTTCTAGGGTTTTCTATACTAAATATCCTTTATTATTAGTTAAGAATAGTTATCTATTTGTTTTCAGAATAGTTTTTTTATATTTAGGTTTTTAGCTAAGAGTATTAGCTCTTCTGTTTTCTGATCCTTTTTAATATATTATTTTATAATTAAATTAAGATAGATATTCAGTATAGTATATTTATCTTCTATTTAATTACTGAATTATAGTAAAGTATTAAATATTTTTATAATCTGTATATACTTTAACCTTATATATTATTCCTAAGTAGTAGTATTTAAATTCTTTAAATATATATATAATAGCTATAAATTCTTTATTATAGATAGAGTAGTTAAGTTCTATATTATATAGTTTCTTTAAGAAGAATACTATAGGGTATAATATTCTATTATTATCTTTTTAGCTAATTTATATACTAATTATAAAGTCTAAGATATCTATTTTAAATTCTATTTCCTATATAGGGTTAAATATCTATAGTATAGGTTCTAAGAGTATTTAGTTCTTAATTTTATTAAATACTTACTATTATTTATTATTCTATTAGAATTCTATTTCTTTTTTAGTAATATTATATAAGGGTATAGTAATTTTCCTATAGTTTTTAATAAATTATTAGTAGTAATTAGTAAATCTAAGAAAAGCTTATATTTCCTTAATAGTTTTTAGTACTTCCTACTCCTTAACTATAGTAATCTTATCTTATTCTATTTATATTTTATTTAGCTAAATAGTATATTCTAAAAAGTTAATTTCTTATATATAGAAGAAACTTTTTTCTAGTTCTATAAGAAGTTTTACTTCTTTAAGTTTTTCTAAGACTTAGTATATATATTCCTTATATATTTCCAGATTATTAGAGAAGATTAAAATATTATTAAGATAAATAACTATAAAGATATTAAGATACTTTCAGAGTATCTAATTAATTATTTATTAGAATATTATAGGTATATTTATCAGTCTAAAGGGTATAATAAGATATTTATAGAGGCTGAACTTTATTCTGAATATTATTTTTTATTTATCTCCTTTCTTAATTTATATTAAATTATAAGCTCTCTTTAGATCTAAGATAGTAAATTACTATTTACCCTATAACTAATCCCTGAGTTTAGTAATTAGTAGTAAGGGTATTCTGTTTTTATATATAATCTTATTTAGCTATTAATAGTTAATAACTAAATAGAGTTTACTGTTTTTCTTTAGTATAAATATTATAGGGTATCCTATAGATAAAGTTAATAGTTATATATAGTCTTTTACTAATATATTATTAATATATTTATAGAGTATTTATAACTAGGGTTCTATAAGGTTATATAATTTATAGAAATCAGGTTCTTCTCCTTTAATAATAGAGATTTTATAATCCTACTAGCTATATTCTAATAGTTCTATTTTAAGTTTTTCTGTAAATAGTATCTTTTTAAAATAGTTATATTCCTATAGAATATTCTTAAGATATTCTTCCTATCTTAGGTACTTAGCTTGTTTATACTTATACT